ACAGACTGGGACCTGGGACAGACAGGGACCAAGACCCTAATAAGCAGGAAATAGAGAAGATGGAATCTTGTGCCCCTGGACTCCCTTAAGGTAAAGGGCCACAGATCTCTGGGGTGGGGATAAGGTGGGATAGGGAGGCAGCTGGCTAGGTCTGCTGAGCTGGAAGCCACTAAGCCCCCAAGTAATTTTGTCCTGTCACTTGTGGATCAAAATGCCCCTTTCCTGAAACCTGAGGATGCCCACAGGAGCCAGGGGGCTTTATTCCCGACCTATTAAAACAGACCACTGGGTGGGGCTTCTCAGTTCTGCTCAAGCTGAGCTGCATGAGACACCACAGGGGGTGCAATCCTGGGTGGTGAGAGAATTCACCAGAGAAGGAGCCCACCTGCTGGACACCCAGCAGGGAGGACACGCGCCTAATCCTGTAGTGGGGATCCCTCCTTAGTGAGAGTGACTGCTGCCATGTGCTCCCGAGGGAGCAGCAGGCTGGACAGCCAGGTGCCAGCCATTGCTGTAGGGACCACAATGGGAGAAACACACAGGGAACTGCAGAGTTTCCTCAGCTGGGGAGAGTTTCCTGTGGTCCAACAGGTTTTCCTAGGTAGGTGATTTGCATTTCTGGGTGGGGCTGAGGAGCCTCCATCACCTTTAGCTCAGACTCCAACAAACACCCTGGGGCACCCTCCACAAAGAGCAGGGAGCCTACCCCAAGGCTTGTAGGGCTTGGCACAGGTGGTGGGTGGAAGGGGACAGCACCAGCCCTGGGCTCAGACCCACACCCCGGGAGATTCTCGCTGTCCAAGCCCGGAGCACCCCAGACAGCTGCTCAGACGCCCACACCCGTGCCCCCTCTTGCCCCTGTGGCTGCAGCCTGCTGGCCCCATCCCCCCACTGGCTCTGCAGGCTCCCTCTCCTCCCTGCCCTCTCTCCTCTTTGTCCAGCAAGTCTTCTAGAAGCCTGCTCAGGGCTGGGGGGAGGGGGGAGGGGAGAAAGGCCAGGTGGAGAGTGGGGAGGCTTTGGTGGCAGCTCTGTGCCGGAGCTCAAAGACACCTGTCCCTGGCCCTGCGCCATGAGCCTCCTGCATTTCTGGCGTTCTTCTGAGCGACCCTCAGATGTCCGTCCGTGGGAACGTGGGCTATGTGCTTGGACTCTGTGCACTCATCTGGGTTGTGGTTTCAAAAGAGCTGAAGAGGAAACCGGACTCTGAAGTGGGTGGGCCCCTGTCACCAGGGGGAAACTGAGGCTTGGTGTGGTCAAGGTCACAGTCAGTAGGTGGAGGGGCTGGGGCTCACGGACAGGTGTCCTCCCTCTGTGACAGCTCCTGGGCTGCTGTCCTGGCCCTCAGTGTGTAACCCAGCTCCTGCACCACGCCTCCCCTTGGGACCTGTGTCCCACTGTTATCTTCTGTCCATTGTCACAGCCCAGGAACATCATCAGGCACACACACACACATCTAGGTCAGAAGCCAGGCCCCAGGCAGGATCACGGGCAGTGGGGCGTCCTGCACTGATCTCACACAGTCCCCATTTTTTTAAGGCAGAAAGACACACACACACCTACATATCACACACACACACACACACACACACACACACAAGTTTTAGTGTCCTCCCTTTGGCTGCTCCACCCCCCTAATGCTCCCAACTGCTAGGGCTGGGCCAGGCTGAATCCTGGAGCCCAGACTCCACCTGGATCGGCATGTAGCCACGCAGGGAGGCACCAGCTGGAAGCGGCGGTGGAGCACAGGAACTCTGGTCTGGGATGAGGTGTCCCCAGCAGGGTCCGGGCTGCTCTGCAACACTGCTCACCCCAGGAAAGAAGTGGGAATGTTGGAGCAATCCAAGAGTCAGGTTGCAGAAGGGGCAGGCTCTGGTGGAAGGGGCGGGGTTACAATCTGACTGCCTCTCCCTTTGGCCACTAGTGACTCTGTCCTGGGAGTCTTGAGCTCTGTGAGGGGCTGTCCCACAGCCCAGCAGCACACCCCGTCCAGCCGCAGTGGCGTGAATTGTGCGGTGTGCTGACACTGCCGGAAATCAGAGACGGGAGAAATCCTCCGTGACAAGGCGGAGTGACCTGTCTGTTCCTTCCTGGCCAGCCTGGGCCTAGCGTTCCTCCTCCTGACAGCCAGCAAGGGGCTGTGTCCGTCCCTGAGCTGCTCTGACCAGGGGGACTGCAGGTGCGCGTTATCAGCTGCGGGTGGGGCAGCAGCCCCTCAGGTGTTGAGAGCCTGGGCCACCCCATCATTAGAGCAGCAGTAGCGCCGCACCCACTGGGGCCCCAGGCTCCCCTTTTCCCACTTCAGCCAGCGGAACTCAGATGGAGACAGATGTCCCCCCGGCAGGAGGCGGGGAGCAAGCATGGAGCCCTGACTCCTCTGCCATGCCCGGGACACTGCCCACCCCCAGTACCAGGGAGGCCCCTACCCTTGCAAGTCCCGCCCACTCCAGGTCCCCCAGATGTGCCCCCCTCTGCGGGGTTCCCTCCACCGCTCAAGGGTATCCCGCCCTGCATGCAGCCACTGGCTCCACGCCCAGGTGTTGTGTGCACTGCACGCTGAGCCGCCAAAGCCCAAGCTTAATCCCCATGGAGCTGGGTCATGCATTTGGCGTTGGCATCCGAAGTCCCAGTCAGGACCCAGGACAAGACGCACGTCATCCTCCCTGGACCCGCGGGGCTCCCAGATGACCACAGCCACGGGCACCGTCCCCCCTACCCCCCACCCGGCTTCTCGGGGGCAGGGCTGGAGATCTGGGTACCACTCCCATAGGAGAAGAGCAGTGGCGCTCCCCCCAGGCCCACTGCCCGGGCCTGGGGACCCAGCGCCCAGGTAGACTCTTTGTCTTCAGGCGCCGCATGGCTACCCTGGCTTCAGGCCCTTCCTTTGCCCTCTCTCTCCCACCTGTCCCCAGGGCCCAGTGCCAAGCAGCTCGCTCCCTGTGGAGTCTCCCTCCCATGTCCCCGGCTAAAGTCTCAGCGGAGGGGAGGCCTGCAGCACAGACCCTCTGCTCCCGCGGCCCCTCTGGGGCTGCCCCTGCCTCCAGGCCAGGCCATCTTCCCAGTCTCCGCCCCCACACCAACCTCAGGGGATCCTTCCGAGGGGGCGGCCTCGCGGGCTCCCTCTGTGTTCCAGGTTCTCTCCAGCCCCTTGGCTGCCTCCCCTGTCTCCTCCCCACAGGAGAGGGGGTGTGGGGCCTGGGGAGGGGCCACAGCCAGGGCTCAGCTGCCTTCCCCCAGTTCTCTCTGAGGAGGTGAATGTAGTCAGAGAATCGCCCTGGGGCTAGGAGGGTGTGTGACAGAGGCACCTGCTGGGGGTGTGACCACTGCCTCCACTTCGAATCCAGCTCCCTGCTAATGAGCCTAGGAAAGCAGTGGAGGATGGCCGAGTGCTTGGGCCCTGCATCCATGTGGGAGACCTGCCCGGATGGAGTTCCAGGCTCCTGGCTACAGATGGGCTCAGTTCAGGCCATTGCGGACATCTGGGGAGTGAACAGTAGATGGACGCTCTCTCTCTCTAATCCTGCTGTTCAAAAGGTAATCTTTAAAGAAGAAGAAGTGACACTCTGTGACGTGCTGAGGACTCCCACAGTGGGGGAAGCCCTGAGACTGCTCCCAGGGAATCCTACTCCCCCAGGTCAAGAGTCTTGGGGCCACTTCCTGGCAGCTCAGGGTTTCAGGCTACTCCTGTACATAGCCCCGCCCTAGCCCGGCTCCCCACTGAGCCCGAGCACCCACCCCTCACAAGTTCAAACCCCCCTTCCCGTCCCCCAGGTCCTGGCCCCTCCCTGGTCATTCTGCCAGGTCCTGAGGTCATAGCTCCGTGAGCTCAGGTGGCAATGACACTTCCTTGCTGGGGCTCACATGGCTCCAGGGTGCAGGGCACCAGAGGGATGGAAATAGAGGGGGCAGGTCAGGGAGTCAGGGCAGTGGGGGGAGGGCAAAGAGGAAGGTGCTCAAGACAGCAGCCTGTCTGTTGTGCTGGCCTGAGGTGGTCCGGTGTCCATGCTGGTCCGGAGCGGTCCCTGGAAGTGCTGCAGGCAAATCAGAGCCGTGGACCTGGGGGTCTGTAATTAGCAGGGATTGTAAATTTGGCAATGGAACAGGTGAGGAGTGGCAGGACCAGGGAGTGGCTATGCTTGGGGGTGAGGGGGAAGGGGCTCAGCCATGCCCATGCTACCTTAGGCCCTCCCTGGAACCTGTCTGCTCTTGAACTCTCCCAGAGTTCCCGAACACCCCCTGGAATCCCAGGTGTGCCTGCTAAGGATGAGCCACAGTGGCTGCCCAGCCTGTCCCTGCCTCAGCTCTGCCACCACCTGACCGCCCTTCTGCACACCCACCCAGCCCATCCGTGAGCCTCCCCCTCACTCACACCCTGAGTCTGACTGCAGGTCCCAGTGGGGCTGACTCCTGCTGATGGGTGGCCCACCTGAAGCTGCACCTTGCCCTCCCAGGCCTGTTGTGGGCAACTGGCCCAGCCCTAAACTCTGTCACCACCCTACTGCCAGCAACCACTCACCCGCCCGCAGCGGGAACAAGATCCCGGTGCAGCGATGCCAGCAGAAGTTGGGCGCAGGTGGACGACTGCAGGGAATCGACACGGAGAGGCCCACGCAGCTGTTCCAGGAGCACAGGCGAGCCCTCGCTTCCCAGCAGGCACCTGGTCCATACCCACGCTGGCCCTCACCTCTGATCAAAACCAGTGCCCTGGGTGACTGCGGGGAGGGCATAGGAGGAACAGTAGGAAGAGACCGTGGGTGTATTTCTGCATAAGGTCGAAGTTGTCCAGGGCACCCAGGAAGCCTTGACATTCCCGGGACCCCCAAGAGGTCAGCATAGGGTGCTGCCAAGGCCACTCTCGGCCTGGGCCCAAACCCAGTGGGACAACTGGACTTCGATTGTGTACTCCCTGCACATGAGCTTCCAGCTCTCAGCCACCAGCTGCCAACCCCTCCCCTACACCCACATCTATTTGCACGCCTCCCATGGACCAGCCAAGACGGATGGACTAGGACAGCCAAGGTCAGTCCCAGAGGGAGCCTGGACACCTCAGGGGCTCCAGACAAGGCATCTCCTGGCCACAGCCTGGACTCTGGGAGAGGGGACACCTGTAACCCCACCTGGAGCCCTGAGGCAGAGGGTGGCACCAGGATGGACGTCTGCCAAGACCTGGTGCCCCGCTGCCCCGTGAAGACCCTGCAGAAGCAGTGGCTGGAAAAGCTGGGCGCCCTGCACTATGTGCTGACTTTGTGCTCAGGTGAGAGGTGGGGAGGCAGCGCTGCCTGGGTGCCCCAGGGGAGAAGGGACTGCAGGGAGGAGGGCGGTGCCCCTGCTCAGGACAACGGTGGCAAGGGGCAGGAACAGGACCCCAGGAGGTGCCCCCTCCAGTGTTGCAGCAGGTGCAGGGAGGGGAAGCTGGACTGAAGCCTGCAGTTTTGATGAGAAATCTTTTTTTTATTGTTTTAACACAGTCCCATTCTTCTTCCTTCTTCTCTTCCACCTCCTCTTCACACGGCTCTGGCCTCTGTCTGTTCTCTACATGTTGTGGCTCTACCTGGACAGGGACACACCCAGCCAAGGTGAGCTCTGGGCAGGCTTCAGGTGGGGAGAGATGGGGAGGGTGCCTAGGGAATTCTGCCACCTGTATCTCTGCCTGCAGGGGGAAGGTGATTTGTGTGGCCAAGGACCTGGGCCATCTGGAAACACCAAAGAGATTACTTTCCTATCAAGGTGAGGGGTCACCCTCCCTAGAGACGCCTCCTCCCCCTTCCCCACCCCACTCCCCTGCACCTGCTTTCCCTTCCCTGTCCTGCAGTCTGAGACCTGCTACCTAGGCTCACAGAGGGGCAGGTGTGGAGAGGTGCACCTGTCCCATCCCAGGGCCTTGACCTCTGAAGTCAGCAGGGGCAGAGGCAGCACCTCTGAAGACAGCAGAGCTGCCCCCCAACCGGAACTACGTGCTGGGGGCCCACCCCCACGGGGCCATGAGCACCGGAGCCTTCAGTAATTTCGTCACTGAGAGCAATAACTTCCCCTGGCTCTTCCCGGGGCTGCAGCCCTGGATAGCCACACTGACCAGGGTCTTCTATGTCCCCTTTTTCCGAGAATACATCATGATGCATGGTGAGCCTCACTCTGAATGGGAGGAAGCAGCTCTGGCCAGAGTGTGCCCCACCCCTACGAGACACCCATGTGCACCCCTGGACTGTTGGATATGCTGGACATGTGAATGAGATGTTGGATGGAGTGTTAGGGCTGCCCCTTCCCCTGCTAACGGCTGGGGTGTGGGAAGCGGGAGCCACCGAGGGAGTGGTGACTGCTCCCACTGCTCATGACCCAGGACTGCGTCCCGTGAGCCGTCACAGCCTGGACTTTGTGCTGTCTCAGCCCCAGCAGGGCCAGGCAGTGGTCATCGTGATTGGGGGAGCCCAGGAGGCCCTGTATACAACCCCAGGGCAGCACAGCCTGGAACTCCTGAATCGCAAAGGCTTTGTGCGCCTGGCACTGAGGCACAGGTGAGTGGGCAGCAAGCCTCAAGGCTTGGTTGCCTTCTCCATATGCAAATTACAGGTCCCTTTTGGTGGGGCTGTGGGTCCCCAGCGCTGAGCAGTGTCCTTGCACATGGAGGTTCCCGTCAGTCCTGAGACCTGGGTCTCACCCTTTGCAGTGCCCCGTCCCATATCCCGTCCCTGTGGACTCAAACATTGTGTCCCTTGGTTTCAGAAGCTCTGGGTTCTCTTCCAAGTCCATCTAGAGGGCAACCCTTGGACTTGACCTTGACCTATACATAGGTCTGATGCCTGCATTGCCACCAGGCTGCAGCTGTAAACACTGAGAACAGGAATATGCCAAGCCCACCACACAGCCATTGGTCAGGACAGCTGAGGCTTCCTTCCAGAATGTTCTGGGCAGCCATGGTCATGTGTCTCCAAACACCTTGGGAAGTGGCCTCAGGAGACAGGGGAGGGACTCACAGACCCAAGGGCTTTGTGAGGGCAGACCAGGCACTGAGCAGCATCCTGTCTCTTCCTCGCCCCTCCCAGGGCCTCCCTGGTGCCTGTGTACTCCTTTGGGGAGAACGACACCTTCAAAGGTATGAATTTCTCCAAAGGCTCCTGGCAGTACCTGTGCCAGGTCACCTGCAAGAGGGTCACCAGCATAGCTCCCTGCATCTTCTGGGGCCGTGGACTCTTCTCACCCAACTCCTGGGGTCTGCTGCCCCTGCCCGTGCCCATCACCACTGTGGGTGAGTCCCCATCTGCAGCGAGGAGGTTCCTGTGGGCGGCACAGCCAGCAGCAGCTCTGGCTCACCCGTGTCTCCCTCCCCTGCAGTGGGCGCCCCCATCCCCGTGCCCCAGTGCAGCAGCCCCAGCCAGGAGCAAGTTGACCACTACCACAGGCTCTACATGGACGCCCTGGAGCGGCTGTTTGAGGAGCACAAGGAGAGCTGTGGGGTCCCTGCCTCCACCCGCCTCACCTTCTTCTAAGACCCCAAGCCCTATGCACTGGAATCCTCCCCTGCCTTTCTTGGTTCCTCTAATAATTGCTGAAATGGACAGAGATAAGATCCAGGGAGGCTCCTACATTCACTCTTTTTTTTTACTTTTATTTAATGAATATTAATTTCCAAAGTACCTCTTATGTATTACAATGGCTTCCCCCCCCCATAGCTTCCCTCCTACCTGCAACCCTCCCCTTTCCTGCTCCCTCTTCCCTTCCATTCACATCAAGATTAATTTTCAATTCTCTTTATATACAGAAGATCCGTTTAGTATATATTAAGTAAAGATTTCAACAGTTTGCACCCACATAGAAACACAAAGTGAAAAATACTGTTTGAGTACTAGTTATAGCATTAAATCACAATGTACAGCACATTAAGGACAGGATCCTACCTGTGGAGTAAGTGCACAGTGACTCCTGTTGTTGACTTTAAAAATTGACACTCTTGTTTATGGCCTCGGTAATCTCCCTAGGCTACAGTCATGAGTTTGCAAGGCTATGGAAGCCTTTTGAGTTCACCGACTCTTATCTTATTTAGACAAGGTCGTAGTCAAAGTGGAAGTTCTCTCGTCCCTTCAGAAAAAGGCACCTCCTTCTTTGATGACCTCCTACAACCACTCTTGTTGTCATCATTGCGGGTGTGGCAGTACTGAGTGAGTGCTGAGATCAGTGGTCCCAGAGTCAGTTTTCTTCAGTTTCGGTCTGAAAGCCAATTTCTAAGAGATTCTGTTAGATGTTCTAATTATGGCCTCTGCGGTAGCTGAGCTTTGCTGTTGTAAAAATGTATGCTGTGTTTATTGAGCGGCTCAGGCACCCACAGCCGTGGGAGTTCCTATCATCTGGGTCATCCAGAAATGCCCACAGTGGCTTTAGGGTCAAGGCTGAGGCGAGGACCCGGTGTCTCCACCCAGGACTCCCTATGAGTGACAGGAACCCGTCAGGGCAGCCGGTCCCGCTGTCATTGGCAAGCAACTAGGTCAGGAGCCAGTGCTGGTGTCCACCCAGGCTCTCAGGCTGGGCCAGGGCACTTAGTGCTAAGCAAACGCAGCCCTAGGCACTGGCTCTCTGCCCATGCACCTGCCAGGCTGTCCCTGTGGGAGCCTCCTTATCCTCTAAGCTAAGGCAATGGGGAAAACAGTAAAGAAACAGCCGGTGGGTGAGCACCTTGGCCTGGGAGCGCTTGCAGTCTGGGCCTTGACAAAGCCTCTGTGCTTCCTCCTTTGCTGGGACGGGAGTGAGACCAGCCTCCCACCGGCCACCGCCCTACGCACCGTGCAGTTTTCCCAGACTTGGGGCTGCCCCGAGCCCTCTGAGTGTACATCCTGGGCCTGACCCCGCCCAGGTGGCCTCGCCCTTCAGAGGGGGCTCCCAGCCTCTCAGAGTCGTCTCCAGCCCTGCTGGCCATTTCCCTGGGTTCCTCCCTCTTCTCTCCTCTCCGCATTTCCCCCTGGTCTCTTCTGTTGTGGGGGGCTCTCCTTGCCTCCCTGCAGCCTCCATCTCCATGCCCACGCGGCCCCTGCTGCCTGACTCAATCACGACCAAGCCTGGTTTCCATGGAGTGTTGCCCACAGGGCCGCTGGTGTCGGATGTCTGCGGAGGGATCCACAGGGAGACCCACCACTCAACTGCGCCCCTGGCTCCGCCTCCCCGTGCCCTCAGTGCTCCCAAAGTCCACCCTTTGGGCACCCTTTCCGTCCTGGATGTCCGCATTCCGGCCCTGGCTCAACCCAGCTTATCAAGGTTGAGAGCAGTATTCCGGGGTGCGGGACTGAGCTGGAACCAACCCCCTGTTGGAAATGGGCTGTGCATCCTGCCGCGTCCCCTCTGTGGCCAGAGACCCGGAGCCAAGTGAGGACGGCACTGGGGTCCCTCCGGGGATGCTGGCTGCCCTCCTCATCCCTCTGGTGCTGTTTGGCTCCACCTGTACCTGCCCCCCACTCCATGTCCAGAGGCACCTGCCAACAGATGGCTTCCTCAGGAATCCCCCTCCCACCATCCGCACTTCACCCCCCCACCCCTTCACTGTACCCCCCCCCAACACCGCCATGTGCCCCGGCAGGGAAAACAGCAGAGGGGAGACCCCGCAGCACAGCCCCTCCTGCACCCATCTGCTCCCCGTTGGAGGCCTTTAGAAAATCACTCAGGCTTGTGCACCTGCCCCAGGGTGGTTCTCGTCTCCAGAGCCCTCCCCTTCCCTGGCGGGGGCCCTTCCCTCCTCCTGCCCAGACATTGGAGGGGAGCTTCGCCCAGCTCCTGCAGCCCCCCTACCCGTGACTGGGTACCGCGAGGTGCTGGACGCCGGGTGTGTGGGTTATTGGAGCAGGTCCAGGTGCTGGACACCGGGTGTGTGGGTTACTGGAGCAGGTCCAGGGGGCAGGGCCAGCAGCTTGGGCCACAAGGAGAAGCTGCTCAAAGCAGCGGAGGCTGGCGATGTGGCAGAGTGCGTAAAGCAGTGCTGGCATCCGAATGGGCACTGTTTCAGGTCCTCGCTGCTCCACTTCCGATGCAGCTCTCTGCTGTGGCCTGGGAAAGCAGGAGAAGATGGCCCAAGCGCTTGGGCCCCTGCACCCGCGTGGAGACCCCAAGAAGTTCCTGGTTCCTGACTTGGGGTCGGCCCAGCTCTGGCTGTTGTGGCCATTTGGGGAGTGAACCAGCGGATGGAAGCTGTGTCTCTCACTCAGAGAGAGGGGACACCCGGCTACAGCTCCTGAGTCTGAGTGCGCCCCCTCCTCCAGCCCAGGTGTGCCTGGCGGCCTTGATCTTTGTGCTCTTGAGCCGGGCCTGGACCCCTGGGGTCCTCCACCTGGTCTGGCTGTACTGGGACAGGGACACATCCGCTCTGCCTGGGTCCGGGACTGGGCCGTCTGGAGACACTTCCGGGACTACTTCCCCATCTCGGTGAGGGTGCCAGGACACTGTCGGGTTGGGGGTGAGGCCTCAGGGGAGTTACTTCATTCCCCAAGCTCAGCCTCTGGGTCGGGTGGGGCCGCACCCAGCTCCCCAGCTGGTGAGGACGGCCCAGTTGGAACAGGAACTTCCTCCCAGATTCCTGGTGCAGAGGATTCTGCTTGGAGGCCTCAGCCCCTCCCACCTCCTCCCTGGCCTGCAGCTGCACCTGCTCCTGCTGCCCCGCTGGCTCCATCACGTCCAGGGTGAGAGCCTCCTCATCCTCCCACGGTTGCGGCAAGGGAGCGGCTTCTGGTCCCAGCCAAACCTTCCCAGGGCCCTTCTTGCTCTTGTCCCGCGGCCACTGTGGCCTGTCTGTTGTCCCGGCCTGAGGCAGCCAGGTGTCCATGCTGGTCCCGAGCGGTCCCTGGAGGTGCTGGAGGCAAATTCAGAGCCATGGAACTGGGGGTCTGTAATTAGAAGGGATTTGTAAATTTGTTAGGTAGGGAGTCAGAAGTGAGCTTATGTGTGTGTGACAAGGGCCTCAGGAATGGACATCTACAGCGGTCCAGCGTCCGCATCTCAAAGTCATCCCGATAACCTTCCCGTATAGCCCCAGTATCTACACTTCAATTCCTGCCCGGATCCTGATGACCTTCCAGGGGGTCCTGCCCCTTCTACCTGGCCTGATAACCATCCTTCCTCTAAGGGGGGCGACGCAAGCCAGCCTTCCCATGTCTGATAACTTCAGGGGGAAAAGTCAGACAGGAATTCTTTGTATTTACACCCAACAAGTGTTTTGTTCGGGAGGAAAAGGAGAGGGGGAGAGAAAAGGCGGGAAGGCAAGACCCATCCCCATAAAAGCCTCAGCCTAAATGTGAACTGGGCTCTCTCTGTCAGGTTCTATCTGGAGAGGAGCCCATCCATTCTTACGGATTCCTACATCTGTTGGCCTGACCTCCTGCTGATGGGGCCAGTCGTGGGCAACTGGCTCAGCCCTAAACTCTGTCGCCACCCTACTGCCACCAACCGCTCACCTACCCGCAGTGGGAACAAGATCCGGGTGCAGCAATGCCAGCAGAAGTTGGGCGCAGGTGGATGACTGCAGGGAATCGACAGAGAGGACCACACAGCTGTTCTAGGAGCACAGGCGAGCTGTGGCTTCCCCAGCAGGCACCTGGTCCACACCCACACTGGCCCTGACCTCTGGTCCCAATCAGAGCCCTGGGTGACCGCAGCGAGGGCGTAGGAGGAACAGTAGGAAGAGACCTGCGGGTGTATTTTGCAAAAGGTCAAAGTTGTGCCAGGGACCCAGGAAGCCTTGACATTCCCTGGGACCCCCAAGAGGTCAGCATAGGGTCCAGCAAAGGCCACTCTAGGCCTGGGCCCAGACCCAGTGGGACAACTGGGCTTCTGCTTCTCCACTCCCTGCACACTGGCTCCCAGCTCCCACCTACAACTGCCAATCCCTCCCCCATACACCCATTTCTCCTCCAAGCTCCTCCCAGGGACCAGCCAAGACGGATGGACCAGGACAGCCAAGGTCAGTCCCAAAGGGAGCCTGGGCACTTTAGGGGCTCCAGACACAGACATCACCCTGACCACAGCATGGATTCTGGGAGAAGGAACACCTGTGAACGCATGTGGAGCCTGCAGGAGGATGGTGGCACCAGGATGGCTGACTCCACAGCACCCGTGCACTGCCACCCCATGCCCAGCTGCAAGGCGAAGACCCTGCAGAAGGAGTGGCTGGAAAAGCTGGGTGCGCTGCAGTTTGTGCTGACTTTGTGCTCAGGTGAGAGGTGGGGAGGCAGCGCTGCTGGGTGCCCCAGGGGAGAAGGGGCTGCAGGGAGGAGGGCAGTGCCCCTGCTCAGGACAACGGTGGCAAGGGGCAGGAACAGGACCCCAGGAGGTGCCCCCTCCAGTGTTGCAGCAGGTGCAGGGAGGGGAAGCTGGGCTGAAGCCTGCAGTTTTGAGGAGAGATCATTTTTCTCTCTCACTTCAACCCAATCCCATTCTCCTTCCTTCTTCTCTTCCTCCTCCTCCTCACACGGCTCTGGCCTCTGTCTGTTCTCTACCTGGACAGGGACATACCCAGCCAAGGTGAGCTCTGGGCAGGCTCCAGGTGGGGAGAGATGGGGAGGGTGCCTAGGGAATTCTGCTACCCGTATCTCTTCCCACAGGGGGAAGGCGATTTGTGTGGCCAAGGACCTGGGCCATCTGGAAACACCAAAGGGATTACTTTCCTATCAAGGTGAGGGGTCACCCTCCACAGAGACACCTCAATCACCTCACTTCCTCACCCCACTCTCCTGCACCTGCTCTCCCTTCCCTGTCCTGCAGCCTGAGACCCGCTGCCTAGGCTCACAGAGGGGCAGGGGTGGACAGGTGCACCTGTCCCATCCCAGGGCCTTGACCTCTGAAGTCAGCAGGGACAGAGGTAGCACCTGCAGCTGCTGCCTCCCCTCTCTGCCTCCCTCCTCTCCTGCAGCTGGTGAAGACAGCAGAGCTGCCCCCCAGCCAGAACTACGTGCAGGGATCTCACTCCCACGGGGTCATGATCACCGGAGCCTTCAGTAATTTCCACACTGAGAGCAATGACTTCTCCCGGCTCTTCCCGGGACTGCAGCCCTGGACAGCCATGATGGCCATCTTCTTCTATGTCCCCTTGTTCCGAGAATACATCATGGCTGGTGGTGAGCCCTGCTCTGTGTGGCCGGATGTGGCTCCAGGCCAGAGTGTGCCCCACCCCCACTGAGACACCAATGTAGCCACCTGGACTTGCCCTGACTGTTGGACATACTGGACATGGGCATGATATGTGGGATGGAGTGTTAGGGCTTCCCTTTCCCTGCTAACGGGTGGGGGAGGGTATTGAGAGCCACCGAGGGAGTGGTGACTGCTCCCCGCTGCTCATGACACAGGACTGCGCCCTGCGAGCCGTCACAGCCTGGACTTTGTGCTGTCTCAGCCCCAGCGGGGCCAGGCGGTGGTCATCGTGCCTGGTGGAGCCCAGGAGGCCCTGTATACGGCACAAAGGCGGCACCGCCTGGAACTCCTGAATCGCAAAGGCTTTGTGCGCCTGGCACTGAGGCACGGGTGCGTGGGCTCAGGTCTCTCGACACCGGGATGGCTTCTCCCTACCCAAACAGCAGGTCCTTGTTGGTGGGGCTGTGGGGCTGTGGGTCCCCAGTGCTGAGCAGTGTCACTTGAATATGGAGGATCCTGTCAGTCCTGAGACCTGGGTCTCTCCCTTGGCAGTGCCCCCAACCCATATTCCGTCCTTGTGGACTCAAACATTGTGTTACTTGGTTTCAGAAGCGCTGGATTCTCTTCCAAAGTCCATCTAGAGGGCAACCCTTGGGCTTAACCTTGACCTGTACACAGGGCTGATGCCTGCCTTAGCATCAGGCTGCAGCTGTAAACACTGAGTGAGAACAGGAATACGCCAAGCACACCACACAGCCATTGGTCAAGACAGCTGAGGCTTCCTTCCAGAATGTTCTGGGCAGACATGGTCATGTGTCTCCAAACAACTTGGGAAGTGGCCTCAGGAGACAGGGGAGGGACTCACAGACGCAAGGGCTTTGCGAGGGCAGACCAGGCCCTGAGCAGTGTCCTCTCTCTTCCTCACCCCTCCCAAGGGCCTCCCTGGTGCCTGTGTACTCCTTTGGGGAGAACGACACCTTCAGATGCAAGGCTTTCTCCAAAGGCTCCTGGCAGTACCTGTGCCAGGTCACCTGTAAGAGGGTCACCAGCATAGCTCCCTGCATCTTCTGGGGCCGTGGTCTCTTCTTGCACAAGTCCTGTGGTCTGCTGCCCCTGCCCGTGCCCATCACCACCGTGGGTGAGTGCCCATCTACAGGGAGGAGGCTGCCGTGTGTGGCATGGCCAGCGGCAGCTCTGGCTCACCCGTGTCTCCCTCCCCTGCAGTGGGCGGCCCCATCCCCGTGCCCCAGTGCAGCAGCCCCAGCCAGGAGCAAGTTGACCACTACCACAGGCTCTACATGGACGCCCTGGAGCGGCTGTTTGAGGAGCACAAGGAGAGCTGCGGGGTCCCTGCCTCTACCCGCCTCACCTTCTACTAAGACCCCACGTCCTCTGCTCTGATACACTCCTCCCTACCTTGCTTTCTCCCTCCAATAAAGGATGAGATGGGCAGAGATAAGAGCCAGGGATGCCCCTACAACCACTCTTGCTGTCATCATTGCCGGCGTGGCATTACTGAGACCAAGGGTCCCAGAGTCAGTCTCCATCAGTTTGGTGTCACAGCTAGTTGCTAAGAAACGCTGTTAGAAGTTCAGATCTCGGCCTCAGTGGTACCTGAGGTCATGTTCATGCCTCCATGGCGAGTGGCAGGTTTGAAGTTCCACTGGAACCAGGTCACATGGAGACAGAGAGCCTGGGGTCGCAGAGGGCCCATGCAATGACCAGGTGAATCCAGGTCCTCCCACCAAAGGATCCACACCTCCCCTGCCTGTCTCCCTGGGGACCAAGGTCTCACAACAGGGACATAGAAGGGGACACTCAGCACAGTGGGGGTGGGCAGAGTGTCCTCCATGCTCCCCGGCTCTGTGTCTACACCCAGGACATCAATATGCAGCACGTGCGGGATGTCTTGGGCAGCTACTTCATCCTTCCCTTTCCAGTCCAATTCTCCCTCATCCCGTGGACAATGCTGGATGGTGCCCTGGCCTCTGGGGTCACCCGGACGAGAAGCACTGCGGTCATTTAATCTGCTGATGGAAGTGCGTCCCTCTGATGGGAATCAAGTGTCCACTCTGGGTCCCAGGGTGCGAATCTCGCCCTCCATGGTAAGGAGGCTGCAGGGGCTCTGGCCTGGGCCTGGGCCTGGTGTGGGGCTGGAGAGAGTGAGTGGAGCAGAGTGAGGGCAACCCCGCTCCTCCCTGAGTCTTGCTAGGGGCTGTGTGGGAGCCCGCGAGGGCGGGACTGGGAAAAGGGTCCTGATGTGGCTGGGCTGACTGAGCTCTGTGCACTCTGCCGTCCCCTGTGCACTGTGGATTTCTGTCCCCGTCGTCCCTCTGGGACCCTTCAAGGCCCCGTGACAGCTCAGTGCTCTTGCTGCCTGCTCTGTGTCCTCACTTGGCTCTTGTAAAAATGGATGCAGTGTTCATCTGAGAGGCTCAGGGACCCATGGCCGTGGGAGCCCCCGTCCTCTGGGTCGTCCACAAATGCCCACTGCGGCTTCAGGGTGGGGGCTGAGGCGAGGACCCGATGTCTCCACCCAGGACTCCCTGTGAGTGACAGGAACCAGTCAGGGCAGCCGGTCCCGCTGTCATCAGCAAGGAGCTGGGTCAGGAGCCAGTGCTGGTGTCCACCCAGGCTCTCAGGCTGGGCCAGGGCACTTAGTGCTAAGCAAACGCAGCCCTAGGCCCTGGCTCTCTGCCCATGCACCTGCCAGGCTGTCCCTGTGGGAGCCTCCTTATCCTCTAAGCTAAGGCAATGGGGAAAACAACAAAGAAAACAGCCGGTGGGTGAGCACCTTGGCCTGGGAGCGCTTGCAGTCCGGGCCTTGACAAAGCCTCTGTGCTTCCTCCTTTGCCAGGACAGCAGTGAGACCAGCCTCCCGCCGGCCACTGTACTGCCCACCGTGCAGTTTCGCCATTCACCGGGGCTGCCCCGAGCCCTCTGAGTGTGCAGCATGGGCCTGACCCTGCCCAGGTGGCCTCTCCCTTCAGAGGGGGCTCTCAGCCTCTCAGTGTCGTCTCCAGCCCTGCTGGCCATTTCCCTGGGTTCCTCTCTCCCATCTCCTCTCCCCGCATTTCTGCCCTGGTCTCTCCTAATGTGTGGGGGGCTCTCTGTGCCTCCCTGCACACCCTGTGTCCATGCCCACGTGGCCCTTGCACACTGAGCATCTCCCACCCAGCCTGGTTTCCATGGAGTGGAGCCGACAGGGATGCTGCTGTCTGATGTCTGATGAAGGATCCACAGCGCGACTGCTCCACCTCCCCGTGCCCTCAGTGCTCCCAAAGTCCACCCTTTGGGCACCCTTTCTGTCCCAGATGTCCGCATTCTGGACCTAGCTCGACCCAGATCATCAAGGTTAAGGGCAGTATTCCTGAGTGTGGACTTGTTACCGGAGAATGGCAGGGTTCTTGTCTTTGCACAAAAAAGAGTTCAGCTGTGAGACAGAGAGTAATGGAAAAGTAAATTAGCAAAGTTTATTAGGGAAGGGACATGCATAAGAATAGATGTGCACCTCTCCAGACAGGACCTGAGAGAGAATGCCCAGTCACTCGGACTGGGGGAAGGAGCGAGGTTACATGGTTGAGTGGAGAGATTACACCTGGGCAGGCCGGCGGGCGACTCAGCAGAGAGGCAGAGGGCTGAGCACCAGTCAGGTTGAGGCTGGTGGGGAGGGGTTTCAGGAGATGGGTCTTTGTTTGAAGGTATCAGACAGGCGGAAGCCTAGCTGGAGCCGTCCTAACCCAGGATCCGGACCAGGTCTGGAGCAGGGTGTTTGAAATGCAGATACTGGGCTGTATTTGGGAGATTGTGGAAGATTGTCAGGCAGAAGGGGCAGGGACCCGCACCTGGCAGGTTATCAGGTAGAACAGGGCAGGGCAGGATGCAAATAGTGGCTGCCCCTGAAGCATTATCGGGATGACTTTGAGGTGAAGATGCATATGCTGGACATAGATGTCTTTTCTGTAGGCCTTCGTCACACACACAGAAGCTCATATCTGACTTCCTACCTAACATTCCCCCCTCAAGAGGCAAATACCAAAAATTCTTCTTTGGGATTATGGATGGAGTTCCGTTTTCTGTAGCTTCTTCTTAACAACATAAAGGCTTGTATACACAGAATCTACTCTCATTTTCATGAGACCACTCTAGCTGGAAAGCAATAACATGAATAAATACAACATAGATCTGACATCATTTACAACATTTTAATACATTTCACATAATCTCAATTGACTCAAACAGCCGTTACTTTAACAAACTTAGAGTCTTATCCTTTGAGAGTTCCAGGGATCCAACTGGAAGCCTCAAAGTTGGAAGACTCAGTTTAGAATTTAAACTGTCAGAGTCAAACTGCTTAGCCAAAAATTACTATGTTTAACCTGAGCATTTTAACCAAGGCTGTGGGCTAGATCTGATCAGTTAGGTAATCACTCAAACATTAAAATAGGCAAATAATGTAAACAACTTTGCGTTGCAGTTTTCCCAATCAAGACAGTACTGTCAATAGAAAAACGCGAAACCTTCAAGACACGTGAAAGCTCTCATCAGATAAGTTAGCTACAGCGGCACAGAAAAGAGCTGATCACCAGCCTATGAGCCCATTGCTTAGGTTTCCATTAACTACAAAGAGAAAAGCCCATCCATCAGGTTGGAAAGGGTTAGTGGATTAAGGTTCTGGCTCTCTTAGGTAAGGCCAGCAGTAGCCAGAGGCATTACCCCTCTACCCTGCTTCCTAGTGAGGAGGGGTTTTGAATTAGAAATGGAGAGGGAAAAAAAAAACAGCCCTGGGGAGCACTCACCCAAGAGATATCTGGCTATGCCTGCATGGGTGCGGCAGGCCACATTGACTGGAATAGAGTGCAGAGAAAGGCTTGGTCCCCCATTTACAGGGAAGACTGCACATTACGGGGCCTAATAGGACTGGCTGTGGGGTTGGGTAGGTGCACCATTTCACCAAGAGTGCTGGGAACCTGCTATAATTCAACCAAAGCCAGATCAATCAGGACTACTGCAAACACTCAGTCAATTAAAACAGATAGTAGTGGGCGCCGTGGCTCACTAGGCTAATCCTCCGCCTTGCGGCGCCGGCACCCCAGGTTCTAGTCCCAGTCGGGGCGCTGGATTCTGTCCCGGTTGCCTCTCTTCCAGGCCAGCTCTCTGCTGTGCCCAGGGTGTGCAGCAGAGGATGGCCCAAGTGCTTGGGCCCTGCACCCCATGGGAGACCAGGAGAAGCACCTGGCTCCTGCCTTCAGATCAGTGTGATGCGCCAGCCACGGCGGCCATTGGAGGGTGAACCAACGGCAAAGGAAGACCTTTCTCTCTGTCCCTCTCTCTCACTGTCCACTCTGCCTGTCCAAAAAAAAAAAAAAAAAAAACAGATAGTTAACTTTAGCTCCATTTTAGATCCAGTCCTCAGCCAATCAAAGCTTAGCAACAGTAACAGCACACAAAATCTTTTCAAGACACACCAGAGCTACCATAAGCTGCAAAGATGGAAAAACATTTATCGGGTTGGAAAGGGTTATCGAATCAAGATTTTCCCTAGGTAGAGAGACCTGTGGAATTTTTCCTCTCTCTTTCTCCTGGCCAGCAGTATAGGGATGGAGATGAGGAGAAAAAAAGAGTGGGGGAGGGAGCCCCGGGAGGAGGAGGAAGGCGGAAAGCAGCAGAGGACAAGATGTGGGCGACTTCCCTCACCTTCCCCTACGAATCTCAGCTGGAGGAGAGCATAGGGAAAGGCCCTGATGTCTGGGGGCTGAGTGGATGTTTGAAAACTCCTATCGCTCAAGATCGCCCACTACCTAGTTGTCCAAGTTTACCTGGAGGGCCAATATTAGCCTCGACCGAAGCTAGACCCTGCTCACGTGGCAGTAGGCAGTGTGACAAGTGTCCCTCCGAGAGAGACCTGGTCCTTGGATCGCAGTCTGGCTGCCAGGAAGCCAAAGTGAACTCATGGGGTCTCCAGGCTCTCAGCCAACTGCCCTTCCCAATTTCCCTCCCATTCCTTACAATCCCACTGGAGTTTCAGCCATAGCTAAGCCATGGCCGGGGGGACCCCACATTCTCAAAGAGCTGTGGGGTGCTGGACACTCAATGGTCATTCCCACAGATCCAGTTCCGCTTGAGGGATGGAATACTGACCTCTGATGTCTTCTTAAAGTCCCTTCATGGTCACCAAAATGTTACCAGTGAATGGCAGGGTTCTTGTCTTTGCGCACAAAAGAATTCAGGCGTGAGACAGAGTAGTGGAAAAGTAAAGTAGCAAAGTTTATTAGGGCAGGGACATCCGTAAGAACGGATGTGCACCTCTCCAGACAGGACCTGAGAGAGAGCGCCCAGTCGCTTGGACTGGGGGGAGGAGCGAGGTTACATGGTTGAGTGGAGAGATTACACCTGGGCAGGCAGGCGGGCGGCTCAGGGAGACAGAGGGCTGAGCGCGCAGTCTGGTTGAGGCCGGGGGTTTTTAAGGAGATGGGTCTTTGTCTTCACACATCTCCTCCTGAAACAAAGGATTTTATGGCTGTGAATATTAAGAAGCTCCTATCTGAATTTTCCCCAGAAGGTATCAGGCAGGAGGAAGCCTAGCTGGCGCCGTCCTAACCCAGGATCCGGACCAGGTCTGGAGCAGGGTATTTGAAATGCAGATACTGGGCTGCATCTGGGAGATTGTGGAAGATGGTCGGGCAGAAGGGGCAGGGACCCCCACCTGGCAGGTTATCAGGTAGAACGGGGCAGGGCAGGGCAGGATGCGAATACTGGCTGCCCCTGAAGTGTTATTGGGATGACTTTGAGATGCAGATGCATATGCTGGACATAGACATCTTTTCTTTAAGGCCTTCGTCACACACACAGAAGCTCTTATCTGACTTCCTACCTAACAGACTGAGCAGGGTCCCACCCCCTACTTGGAATGGGGCTGCACATCCTGCCGGGACCCCTCCATGGCCAGAGAACCGGAGCCAAGTGGGGATGGCACTGCGGGTCCCGGGTGGTTGGCTGCCCTCCTCCCCCTCTGGTGGTGTTTGGCTCCACCTGCACCTGCATCCCCATGTCCAGAGAAACCTGCCACCAAAGCTCCCACCCACCCTCACATTACCCTCCCCTCATTCTAACCCCCTCAAGTGCCCCTGCAGTCAAAAGGGCAGAGAGAGACCCCGCAGCACGGCCCCTCTCTACCCCCAGGCCCTGGGGACCAGCCCCTCCCCACAGACTTCCTGGTCCCCCATCTACCCCCAGGAAGCCTTCCACAGCCCACGCCCAGGGCCTCCCCTGTCTTCCAGCGGTCCCAGTGCACACTTCCTGATTCTGAGATGATAGGAAGGGGCAGGGGCGGGATAGGGGGTGCCCCTCTGGCTGGAGCTGGGTCCAGGAGGAGCCTCTGCCCCACCTGCTCACCTGAGTGCACCTGAGTTCCAAGGAGCCAGGTGTAGCGCTGTGCTGGGTGGGAAGGGGCCAGTTCCCGCCATGCCTTGGCTGGAGCCCCTGACCAGCCTTGGGCCCTATCTGTCCTGCCCAGGGCTGTGACCAGCTTGCTTTGACCCTGGGAGCTCCCTGCCCCCCTCACCCCAACCCCAACCCCAACCAGCTGACCCCAGATGCAGGTCCCTTAGGAAAGAGCCCCCACCCCATCCCTTCCTGAGAGCAAGGAGGGGAGGCTGAGGGCTGAGGTCCTGAGGCGGTCAGGCGACTTCCAGTGAGCAGGTGGCTCTCCCCTTCCTCACTGAGGGGCAGAGGGGCGTTGCTGGGGTCACCAGGGAACACAGCTTGTGTTTCCCAGAACCCGGGAGCCGTGGCTCAGGTCGGGTGGGGATGCAGAGGGGACTCGGCGTCCCAGGCCTGGCCCAAGGGTCAGGTGCTTGGGCCTCTGCTTCTCTGTAACTCTGCCTCTGTATTCGCTTTTTAAAAAAATCTTTATTTTATTTTTTAAAAGGAATATTTATTTATTTGAAGGGCAGAGTTACACAGAGAGAGAAGGCGAGGCAGAGAGTGAGAGAGAGAGGTCTTCCATTTGCTGGTCACTCCCTATTTGGCCACGATGACCAGAGCTGAACTGATCCGAAGCCTAGAGCCAGCAGCCTCCTCCGGGTCTCCCACATGAGTGCAGGGTTCACAGAGTTGAGCCATCTTCCACTGCTTTCCCAGGACAAAGCAGAGATCCGGATCAGAAGTGGATCAGCCAAGACTCGAACAGGTGCCCATATGAGAAGCCGAAACTGCAGGCTAGCCGGCGCCGCGGCTCACTAGGCTAATCTTCCGCCTTGCGGCGCCGGCACACCGGGTTCTAGTCCCAGTCGGGGCGCCGGATTCTGTCCCGGTTGTCCCTCTTCCAGGCCAGCTCTCTGCTGTGGCCAGGAAGTGCAGTGGAGGATGGCCCAAGTGCTTGGGCCCTGCACCCCATGGGAGACCAGGAGAAGCACCTGGCTCCTGGCCTCGGATCAACCCGGTTCCCCGGCTTCAGCGCAACAGCCGTGGCGGCCATTGGAGGGTGAACCAACGGCAAAGGAAGACCTTTCTCTCTGTCTCTCTCTCTCACTGTCCACTCTGCCTGTTAAAAAATAAAAAAGAAAGAAAGAAACTGCAGGCTGTGGCCATACCTGCTATGCCACGGTGCTGGCTCCAATAAATCTTTAAAAAAAAAAGAATAGCAAGAGCTCACCCTGTGTGAGGCCCCCCCAAGATGGCTGTGTGACCGCTGTCTGGGCCTGGGGCATTCAGAGGCTGTCCTGGTTGCGGGAGGTGCTGGAGGTGATGGAAGTTAATCCCAAGCCCCGACCTGGCACACGAGCACTCAGAGTGGACTGGGGCAGTGGATGCTGGAGCACCCGGCTAAGCCGCGTCCCTGGCTCTGGACTGGCCGTGGGGAAGGATCGGGCAGCAGGGACAGGGCTGAGCTGCCTGGCTACACCATAGGGCCTCCAGCTGTCCGCATTGGAACCCACAGGCTGGGGAGGGCCAGGTGCAGGAGGTTCTGAGCCCCTGCTGAGAGAGGTCTTTCCATGGGCTCCCTGCTGCCTGTCCCCATCCCTGCTGGGGACTGACCTCCTGCTCTGGGCTGCACAGGCAGAGCTGGACCTAGGCTCATGGTGGGCTTGGCCAATGCCCCAGCCCTGTATCTGTCCCCATCTTGCTACTGGTGTGGGGAGGGGCCGGGGATCCCGGTGACCGCTGGTGCACCTGCAGTCAGTCCGGATGCAGAAGGACACAGTGGACGTGCTGTCTGCGCTCCACACGGAGTAGCTCAGGCAGCAGCTCCAGGAGCAGATGCCCATGATGGTGTCCCTACCTGGTTCTCTTCTAGGTGGTCGGTGGCCACCTTGTGGTCCCAGGGAGGCCCCTCTTAGGCTGCAGGTTAACGGAGACCAGGAAAAGTAAAGTAGAGAAGAATTCCCGGGGTTGGTGTGTTGGTGTGCATGGTGAGAGGGGTCCCAGGCATCTTGGGGCCTGCGGTGGCACCTGCGGGAGACCGGACATTCCCAGAGATCTGAAGAGAGGGAACCACTCAACCTAGTGCTCAACCTGTTTCAGTTGGCTGCTGCCACTGCCTGCACCTGGGCCCTGTGGGCGGGCTGACCTGCTGGAAAGCCACTCCCTCCTCAGGTGCTGCCCCTCCCCTGCACACCCCCACCCGCACCCCCTCCTGCCAGGGTCAGCCCAGACTGACAGAGCCAAGACTTTCAAAGATCAGTCTCAGAGGGAGCCTGGACACTTCTGGGGCTCCCGATCCACGCATCTCCCCAGCCACTGCCTGGACCCTGGGAGAGGGGACACCGGTGACCCCACCTGGAGCCCTGCAGGCAGAGATGGCTACCAAGATGGATGTCTCCCCAGCCGCAGTGCCCCCTGGCCCCGGGAAGACCCTGCAGAAGCAGTGGCTGGAAGTAGTGGGCATCTCCCACTATGTGTTTGCTTTTCTGTTCCTAGGTGAGAATAAGGGGGAAGGGAATGGGGGCTCTGCCCGGGGAGAGGGCATTGGAGGGAAGATCGCATTGTGGAGGCTTGGACACCCGGGGACTGACAGGGCGATTGCCCAGGCCAGCAGATCCCTGCAGGTGGAGGACGGGAGGTGTGGCTGCAGAACTGGGGTTCCTGAGAAATTCATTTTTCTTCTTCACCATTCCCCAGTCCCTTTCGCCATGGTTCTTCTGCTCTTCCTCCTCTTCACACGGCTCTGGCCTCTGTCTGTTCTCTACTTGTTGTGGATCTACCTGGACAGGCACACACCCAGCCAAGGTGAGCTCTGGGCAGGGCTCCAGGTGGGAAGAGATGGGGAGGGTGCCTCGGGGACTCTACCACCCGTATCTCTGCCCACAGGGGGAAGGCGATTTGTGTGGCCAAGGACCTGGGCCATCTGGAAACACCAAAGGGATTACTTTCCTATCAAGGTGAGGGGTCACCTCGCCAGAGACACCTCCCCCTACCCCACTCCACTGCCCCATACTCCTCCCTCTTCCCTGTCCTACAGCCTGAGACCCGCTGTCTAGGCTCACACAGGGGCAGGGGTGGAGAGGTGCACCTGTCCCATCCCAGGGCCTTGACCTCTGAAGTCTGCAGGGGCAGAGGGAGCACCTGCAGCTGCTGCCTCCCCTCTCTGCCTCCCTCCTCTGCTGCAGCTGGTGAAGACAGCAGAGCTGCCCCCCAGCCAGAACTACGTGCTGGGATCCCACCCACATGGGGTCATGTGCACCGGAGCCTTCTGTAACTTCACCACCGAGTGCAATGACTTCTCCCAGCGCTTCCCGGGGCTGCAGCCCTGGCTAGCCACACTGGCCGGCCTCTTCTACCTTCCAGTCTTCCGAGACTACATCATGGCTGGTGGTGAGTCCCAGGCTAAAGGGCAGGAGACAGCCCCTGGCCAGGGCGTTCCACACCAGGACTCCACACCAGTCCTGAGCACTGACCATGCTCTCCTTTAACACAGGGTGGGCTGGGGTTGGAAAATGAGGAGTGGGGATCCCCTTCCCCTGCTAACGGGTGAGGTGAGGGACTTGGGAGAGCCACTGATGGAGTGGTGACTGCTCCCCACTGCACATGACACAGGACTGCGTCCCGTGAGCCGGCGCAGCCTGGACTTTGTGCTGTCTCAGCCCCAGCGGGGCCAGGCGGTGGTCATTGTCATCGGGGGTGCCCAGGAGTCACTGTACACGGCCCCAGGGTGGCACTGCCTCGCACTCAAAAAACACAAAGGCTTCGTGCGCCTGGCGCTGAGGCACGGGTGAGTGGTGTGCAAGATCCGAGGCTGGGCTGGGTCCCGGGTCAGACCTCAGAATACCCGCAGCTGACATAGTGCTCTCTGGAGCCGACAGCACACCCCGCACCAGGACGCACCTGTCGGCCCTGATGCCACCTTGTCAGACCTGGCTGTGCCCACTTCTCCTCCTCAGTGAGCAGCCTCAGATTGACACCAGCAGAACTTTGGGAACAGAGCCCTGGGTTCTCCTTGTGACCCTGTCTCAGAGACAAAGCCTTGGACTTGACCTTGACCTGTAACAGGGCTGCCGCCTGCCTTGCCACCAGGCTGCAGCTGTAAACACTGAGTGAGAACATGAGTACGCCAAGCCCACCACACAGCCATTGGTCAGGACAGCTGGGGCTTCCTTCCAGAACTTTCCGGGCAGACATAAGAGCTTCCAGACCTTGGAAAGTGGCCTCAGGAGACAGGGGAGGGACTTTTTGCCCCAGAGTGCCGGTGTGGCCGTCTAGGACCCTGAGCAGCGTCCTCTCTCTTTCTCGCCCCTCCCAGGGCCTCCCTGGTGCCTGTGTACTCCTTTGGGGAGAACGACACCTTCAAAGGTATGAATTTCTCCGAAGGCTCCTGGCAGTACCTGTGCCAGGTCATCTTCAAGAAGATCGTTGGTTTTCCTCCTTGCATCTTCTGGGGCCGTGGTCTCTTCTCGTCCAACTCCTGGGGTCTGCTGCCCCTGCCCGTGCCCATCACCACCGTGGGTGAGTGCCCATCTGCAGGGAGGAGGCTGCCGTGGGCAGCACGGCCAGCGGCAGCTCTGGCTCACCCGTGCCTCCCTCCCCTGCAGTGGGCGGCCCCATCCCCGTGCCCCAGTGCAGCAGCCCCAGCCAGGAGCAAGTTGACCACTACCACAGGCTCTACATGGACGCCCTGGAGCGGCTGTTTGAGGAGCACAAGGAGAGCTGCGGGGTCCCTGCCTCCACCCGCCTCACCTTCCTCTAGGCCTGGCTCAGCCTCTCCACTCAGCCCCTTCCCCCCCTTGCACTGTGACACCCAGCTCCCGCCTTGACCTCCCCTCCAATAAAGGCTAGTTCTGGAGGGGAGTGCGGCCAGGCACTGCCACCCCGTCCTGTCTGCTGCAGAGGGTCTGCCTGGGGTGGGTCTCAGCACGATGCATTCTCCTGCCAGAAAAGCTGACTGTGCCCCGGGACCTGGGAGACGTCTCCCCCTCCCGGGCCCCTGCTCCCCCTGTGAAGCAAGGCTGCTGCTTAGCTCAGAGCTGGCAGGATCAGGACAGAGTTGGGAGGAGACCCCGGAGGGGTGGGGAGGGGGCAGCTGGGGCAGAGCTGAGCTGGGTCAGGGCCCAGCAGGTGCAGGGATGGGAGGACCTGGTCCCCATGTCCAAATCCCCCTCCTTGGTACAGGAGGCTGCAGGGGGCTTGGGCTGGACCTGGGCATGCAGCCATGGTGGGGTAGTGGAGCTGAGTGAGGGTTCTCCCTCCGCTCCTCCCAGGCCTTGCTAGGGGCTGATGGGAACACAGTGGGGCCTGTGAGGGGTGGGAATGGGAACTGGGGCCGCCAGTCCTGATGAGGCTGGGCTGACCGAGCTCTGCGCTCTTTGCTGCTCCCTACTCGCTGTGGGCTTCTGTCCCACGTGGTCCTTCTGAGGCTACCTCTAAGCTGTGGCAGCTCAGTGCCATTGCTTCCTGATCCGCGTCTTTGGTCTGCTGTCTTTTGTTGTTGTTGGAAGATGTGTTGATTGAGACAGCAGAGTTATAGACTGAGCTTCCTTGCACAGACCCTCAGGAGGCCACGGTGAAGGTCAGGGCTACAGCACCACCTGCCACGGTGACTCACCCCTGGCCCAGGGAGGGGAGGGGGAGGGGTGAGGCCGGCGTGAGAGCTGGGGGCCCGCGGGAGGTCCTCAACACGGCCACATCCGCAGTACTTGGCAGCCAGCAAGCGTCCATCCCTGAGCTGCTCTGACCAGGTGGGACTGCAGGTGAGCCTTCTCACTGTGGGTGGGGCAGGCAGCCCCTCAGCAGGGCCAGCTCAGCACAGACAGGAGTGGTGCTGCTCCCAGGCCCAGCGGATCCATCTCCAGGCCCCCGGGACCCCTGGACTGAGATCGGCAGTGCTGGGTGCGGCTGGTGATGAAGCCAGCAAGTCCCCCTCCCCAAAGCCCCAGGGCAGGCTCCGCCTTGTCCTCCAGCAGTGAAGCTTGAGGCCTCCAAGTAGCAGCTGCCACCGTCCTGGCCACCAGGACTCCGTGGGGTGGGCATGGAAGAGGTGATTCCAGGAGGGAGGCACCTGGGCCGTCCTCACCAGCTGGGGAGCAGGGGCCACAGCCCCACCCGTCCCTGAGGCCGTGCTTGGGGGAGGCAGGTGCCCAGTCTCCTGTGAGCCTCACCTTCCCCACCACAGTGTCCCCAGCACCGTCTTGGAGATGGGGAAGTAGTTCTAGAAGTGTCTCCAGATGGCCCAGTCCCGGACCCAGGCAGAGCGGTGGCCTCCGGCCCTGGGTGTGTCCCTGTCCCAGTACAGCCAGACCAGGTAGAGGACCCCAAGGGTCCAGGCCCGGCTCAGGAGCACAAAGATCAAGACCACCAGGCACACCTGGGCTGGAGGAGGGGGCGCACTCAGAACCCAGGAGCTGCAGCCTGGTGTGTCCTCTGCCCCTGCCCTGGTTCCAGGGCCAAAGTCCCCTCCACCCCAACCCCCACCTCTCTCCACAGGCTCCCCAGGCTGCTTCAAGGGCCCGGGGCCCTGGGCTGCCTCCCTAAGGGAAAGTGGAGGCAGAGGGGCAGGTGCTGGGTCCACTTGCATCCCTGGGATCTGGGGTCCCCAAGCCCCACAAAGGAGAAGAGCCATTGAGAGACAGAGAGGGGGCTGCGGCAGGGGCTGCAGGAGGCAGCAGCCTGGGGAGGGGCCTCGCACAAGGGCAGCCACAGCCCCTGAGCACCGTCCCCAGTGGCCCAAACCTCAGCGCCCTGACCCTGCCACTGGCCTCGACTCTTTTCTGCTCCCTTTGCTGCCCTGCACGCTGGAGCCAGGTGAGACCAGGCAAGGAAGGGTGATGGACACCTGAGCTCACGGAGCTCTGACCAATAGGACCCCATGGAAATGGCCAGGGGTGGGGCCACCAGTGGGGGGGCGGTGTTTGAATTTTATGAGGGGGGTGGGCGTGGGGGCAGGGCCTCGGAGGAAGTGGAGAGCTGGGCTAGCAAGGGTCCAGGAGGGGGTGGTGGAGTCACCCAGGGCAGGTTCTCTACAGAAAGTGCTCAGAGCCCAGAGCTAAGGACCTGACCCCCAGGAGGAGAAGGAAGGCGACAGTGGGTCAGCTGCAGGGTGTAAGGGAGGGAGCCAGAGGAGTGCCCTTGGGGACCCCCGGATAGGACGCCCTGGACCCCAGGCCCAGCAGACCCCCAAAAGACGGCAGTGCTCAGACCCTCCCCCAGGCTTCCACACAGGGAAAGCAAGGACACACCCCCTATGCAGGGTGGAGGGGGCAGAGGTGGGGGGAGCGGGATGACAGCCCAGGGCCGGGGGAGGGCTCTTCCCAAAGGGGCCCAGTGGTGCAGGAGGGCTGCCCTGGAGGGTCTCCCTTGGGTCCTGTCTCCGATGTGGGGACCTTAGTGGGAGCAGGGGGCAGGGAGATATTCCAAAGGAAGCCGTCTGATTGGCAGGCGTCCGCTGGGCATCGCCCCTGGGGACAGGTGGGAGTGAAATGGGGAAGGAGGGGAGGGAGGGGAGGAAGCCGCTACACCCCACATGGTCTCTGTCTGGACCCCCAGGGCTGGAGTGGGGAGCACTGGGAGAGGGAATGAGGACCCCTGCCCCATACCCCCGAGTCCGGTGTCCACCCCATGTCAGGGAGCTGGGTCTGAGCCAGGCCTGGGAAGCTGAGAAGCTTGGACGCAATTGGAAGCCTTGGGAACGGTCATTAGGAGCCCCAAGGGTCCAGGGACCAGGACACGCCTTGACCCGGCCTTCCAGCCCACCCTCCTCCTCCCTCTTCTCTTTATGCCCAGGCATAAAGGCCCCTACCCTCTGCCAGCGCCCCCACCCACCCCTGCCTCATTTGGTCTCAGCCAAGGCCAGTGCTGCCTGCCTGCCTGCTGTTTTGCCTGGGGGTGTCCTGGTCACGCGCAGGCTCCCAGAAGCACTGGAGGCAACAGCTGATGGCCTGAGCTTGTGGTTCGTGGAGCAGAAGTGCTTGGTTAAGTTGGCGCTGGGCTGCCATGACCCGTGCCCCCGGGGTTTTTGGTGGGGAGGGAGGGCAGCTGCGGGGCAGCAGGGCGCCACCTGCCCCTGCTCCCCCACCCCCCGTGCCTCCCTGAGCCTGTCTTCTCCTCTGGGGAGAAGTAGCTCTTCCAGCAGTTGCCGAATCCAGGACTTGTGGCTGCACTGGGGGTAGGACGTCCTGCGGCCACTGTTCCAGCAAGCCTGGGCCTCCTGCTGCCCTTCCCCGCACGCCTCGCCCTCTGCTCCCGCCCCAAGCCTATCCTGAAGGTCCCTGAGGGGGCATGGCCTCCTAGCTCTGGGCAGCATATCCCAGAACAGCCTCGTCCCTCGTTCCAGACCTGGGCAGCTGTCCAGGCCCAGAGCTCTGTCCCTGCAGCTCCTGCAGGTGGGAGCCGGCTGCGCTGCACACAGCAGCCGTGTGGGGCGCTGTGGAGCAACTCACGCACCTGTGGAGGACCACAAGCCACACGCAGAAGTCCATGCGGATGGATACACCGCCACACTTAACTGCACACGTGTCCCCTGCGGGCCAGAAGGAGTCTTCTTGGTGCCTGCGTGTGGAGGAGTGGACTTAAAGGTGGGAAGGATCAGAAGCCCGTGCCAGGAGTCCAGTGCAGGTGGAGGAGATGGGCAGCAAACAGGGGTTCTCAGGCAAATTAATTTTTCTTTCCCACCTTTCATTCTGTCCCTTGCTCCTTCCTCCTCCTCTTCACATGGCTCTGGTCTCTGTTCTCTGCTTGATTGGATCTACCTGGACAGCCACACACCCAGCCAAGGTGAGCTCTGGGCAGGGCTCCAGGTGGGGAGAGATGGGGAGGGTGCCTCGGGGACTCTGCCACCCGTATCTCTGCCCGCAGGGGGAAGGCAGTGTGGATGACAAACAACTAAGTGATTTAGAAACACAAAAGGGATTATTTTCCAACCTTCCCAGAGACGTCTCCTCCCTCTTCCTCATCCCACTCCCCTGCACATCCTCCTCTTTCTCCACCCCACTCCCCTGCACCTGCCCCCCTTCCCTGTCCTGCAGCCTGAGACCTGCTGCCTAGGCTCACAGAGGAGCAGAGGTGAACAGGTGCACCTGATCCCATCCCAGAGCCTTGATCTCTGAGGTCAGCAGGGGCAGAGGCAGCACCTGCAGCTGCTGCCTCCCCCTCTCTGCCTCCCTCCTCTCCTGCAGCTGGTGAAGACAGCAGAGCTGCCCCCCAGCCAGAACTACGTGCTGGGATCCCACCCCCACGGGGCCATGGGCACCAGGGCCTTCTGTAATTTCTCCACCAAGAGCAATGCCTTCTCCCGGCGCCTTCCGGGGCTGCAGCCCTGGGTAGCCGCAAGTACCGGCCTCTTCTACTGTCCCATGTTCACACTCAGTGGTGAGCCTCATAGTGAATGAGGAAGCAGTCCCTGGCATGACCGTTCCCCACCACTACAAGGGCCACCACCCAGAGGACGGGACCCAACCTGAGAAGTAACCATGCTCTGCAGGGGTCAAAGATCGGGGGATGGAGGGTTTGGAAGAAACAGGATGTGGGAGTGAGGGAATTGGGAGCCACAGAGGGAGCGGTGACTGCTACCCACTGCTCATGACCCTGGATAGTATCCTGTTAGCCTAGGTCTTGTCTCAGCCCCAGTGGGGCCAGGCGGTGGTCATTGTGATGGGGGGTGCCCAGGAGGCCCTGTACACCGCCCCAGGACAGCACAGCCTGGATTTCCTGAATTGCAAAGTTTTCTTGTGCCGGGCGCTGAGGCTCAGGTGAGTGGGCAGCAGGTCCCGAGGCTGGACTGGGCTCTCCCTGAACAGTCACAGGTGTGGTGGACAGTGGGTCCCCAGAGCGATGACTGTTCCCCATGCCTGGAGGGTCCTGCCAGCCCTGGCATGCCTTCTTCCCTAGCCCCGTGGACACGCTTTCACAAACGCCCCCCACGCTCACCCAGAGGGCAAGTACAGCCTGCAAGACAGGGCCTCTGGCTCGGATTCCAGTTTCCTTTCCAACTCTGTCTCAAAGCCTTGGACTTGACGTTGACCTGTACACAGGGCTCTTGTCTGCCTTGCCACCAGGCTGCATCTGTAAACTGAGTGAGAACAGGAGTAAGCCAAGCCCACCACACAGCCATTGGTCAGGACAGCTGAGGCTTCCTTCCAGAACTTTCTGGGCAGCCATGGTCATGTGTCTCCAAACACCTTGGGAAGTGGCCTCAGGAGACAGGGGAGGGACTCACAGACCCAAGGGCTTTGCGAGGCCAGACCAGGACCCTGAGCAGCGTCCTGTCTCTTCCTCACCCCTCTCAGGGCCTCCCTGGTGCCTGTGTACTCCTTTGGGGAGAAAGACATCTTCAGATGCAAGGCTTTCTCCAAAGGCTCCTGGCGGTACCTGTGCCAGGTCACCTGCAAGAGGGTTACCAGCATAGCTCCCCGCATCTTCTGGGGCCGTGGTCTCTTCTCACCCAACTCCCAGGGTCTGCTGCTGCCATTCAGCTCGGTGTTGGGGGTTCAAGGCCATGCCGCCTGTAGCACCTAAGTTCTTGTCAGGGCATCTGGGATGTGTTGGTTTGTGATACATCAGGAACCAGGATCACAGAGAGGGGGACACTGGGGCCCCACAATCCCTTTCTAAGGCAACCCACGTGACTGCAGCACCTCCCACCAGGCCCCACCTCTTTAAGGCCCACATACCTCCCAATACTGCCTCTCTGGGACTGAGCTCCCAACACATGAACAGAAGGGGACATTTCCGTGACAAGCTCTCCATCTCATCGAGGGTACCGGGAACACCGTGCTGGGTGGGGGTGGGGGATGAAGCTTCAGAGGAGACTTAGAACCACCACAACCCCCCACCCCCGACCCCACCCAGTAACGCCACAGGGACACGTGGGGGCCATGCAGTCTCTGCTTGCTACCTCGTGAAAGTGGCTGAGCCCGATCTTCCGGGACTGAACCCAGAGCCCTGTGCCTGTGGGTCTGCAGTCAGAATGGATTCTTCGGCCAGTGCTGGAGCGGAGGCCATGAGCAGTGGGGGAGGGAGGGAGCAGAGGGGCAGGCACCAGGGCTCGCCGCACCCCTGCTCCCCCGGGGCTCCCTGCTGCCTTCCAGGGGTGTGCCAGGCCCAGGTGACCCTGCAGCCGAACTGAGCATGACCCTGCCACTGTCCCAAGGCCCCCTGGGCCTCCTGCCGCCTTTCTGTGCCAACCACACTGAATGTGAGCCAAGAGAATCCTGGAAAGTCCTGGGTTCCCATATCAGCCCCGCGACGGCCCCAGAGGTCCCTTTTGTGACCCGTCCTCCCCATTCAGGGTTGCGCCTCCAGAGAAAGCATTGTCCAGCCCTGCGAGAACCCCAGGATGTTTCTTGGGAAACTGCTCCAGTCCTGAACTCCATGGCCATGGCTCCTGTGAAACAGGCAGACCAGGGGATCCCAATGACCACTGTCCACCCACAGAGGAGCCCCCAGTCCCGGTGCAGCGATGCCCACAGCCCAGGTGGCCTTAGGAGGACGTGCTGCACACACTCTACCTGGAATGGCTCCCACAGCTGCACAAGGAGAGCAGGTGCACCACGGCGTCCACACAGACGGGCATCTGGTCCTCCCCTGGGCAAGGCGCTGACATTGGCCCCAAACTGGTGCCTTTGCTGGGGGAGTGAAATTCAAGGTGGGAAGGCACCTGCGGTGTCTGGGTGTCTGCCTGCATGGTGGGTGGTCCAAGATGCAGTGGAAAGATCTGGAGAGGCTCCCCAGGGAGCCCCGAAATTCCCAGAGACCCCAAAGAGGCCAGAGTGGGGTTCCGTTCTGTGCAATCTCAGTCGGGCTCCTGGTACCTGTGACTGTCTAGGGGTAAATGGGGCTGAGCCAGGCTCTGACCACTCCCTGCACCCAGGTGCTGCCCTCCCCCTGCACACCCTCCTCCCCTTCCAGCCCCTCCCAGGGTTAGCCCAGACATTTAAGGAGCAGTCTCAGAGGGACTGGACACTCCTGGGGCTCCAGACACAGGCATCTCCCTGGCCACAGCCTGGACCGTGGGGGAGGGGACTCCTGTGACCCCACCTGGAGCCCTGCAGGCAGAGGGTGGCACCAGGATGGCTGACTCCACATCCTCCATGCCACCTCGCCCTGTGAAGACCCTGCAGAAGCAGTGGCTGGAAGCCCTGGCCGCCATGCACTATGTGCTTGCTTTCGTGGTCCTAGGTGAGAATAAGGGGGAGGCGGAGGTGCTGGGGTTGCTTGGTGGAGAGGGACTGGCTGGAACAGCTGGGCTGTTGGCCGAGACATGTGGGTCAAGGGACGGGGACAGGACCAGGGCAGATGCCTCTGCCCACTGTTCCATGCAGGTGGAGGAGGGCTGGAGCTGGCTAAGAACTGGACTTCCCAGGGGAATTCATTTCTCTTTCTCACCTTTCCGCAGTCCCTTTCTCCGTCTTTCTTCTGCTCTTCCTCCTCTTCACACGGCTCTGGTCTCTGTCTGTTCTCTGCATGCTGTGGATCTACCTGGACAGGCACACTCCCAGCCAAGGTGAGCTCTGGGCAGGGCTCCAGGTGGGGGAGATAGTGAGGGTGCCTCAGGGACCCTGCCACCTGCATCTGTCCCCCAGGGGGAAGGCGATTTGTGTGGCCAAGGACCTGGGCCATCTGGAAACACCAAAGGGATTACTTTCCTATCAAGGTGAGGGGTCACCCTCCCCAGAGATGCCTCCTCCCCCTTCCCCACCCCACTCCCCTGCACCTGCTCTCCCTTCCCTGTCCAGCAGCCTGAGACCCACTGCCTAGGCTCACAGAGGGGCAGGGGTGGAGAGGTGCACCTGACCCCATCCCAGGGCCTTGACCTCTGAAGTCAGCAGGGGCAGAGGTAGCACCTTCAGCTGCTGCCTTGCCTCTCTGCCTCCCTCCTCTCCTGCAGCTGGTGAAGACGGCAGAGCTGCCCCCCAGCCAGAACTACGTGCTGGGGGCCCACCCCCACGGGGTCATGTGCACCGGAGCCTTCAGTAATTTCCTCACTGAGAGCAATGACTTCTCCCGGCACTTCCCGGGGCTGCAGCCCTGGATAGCCACACTGACCAGGTTCTTCTACATCCCAATCTTCCGGGACTACATCATGATTGGTGGTGAGCCTCAGCTGAAGGGGAGGAAGCAGCCCCTGGCCCTCTTATCTCCCTGGAGCTCCTGCCCCCATCAGGACCAGACTTGCCCTCAGCATCACCAGGCTCAGCAGGGACTGAGATGGGGATCCAGAGCTCGGAAAGCACAAGATGTGGGGCTCCCTCTTCCCCTGCTAACGGCTGGGGTGTGGGAATCGGGAGCCAAAGAGGGAGTGGTGACTGCTCCCCACTGCTCATGACCCAGGACTGCGTCCCGTGAGCCGCCAGAGCCTGGACTTTGTGCTGTCTCTGCCTCAGCGGGGCCAGGCAATGGTCATCATGATTGGAGGAGGCAAGGAACTCTTATCCACGGCCCCAGGACGGCACTTAGTCAAGCTCCATGATCGCAAAGGCTTCGTGCGCCTGGCACTGAGGCATGGGTGAGTGGGCGTGCAGGTGCCAAGGCCGGGCTGGCCTTGCCCTGCCCAGGCGTCCCAGCCCCTGCAGGTGAGTCTGTGGGTCCCCAGGGTTTCGCCTCTTGCACCTAGAGGTTCCTTCCAGCCTGCGTGCCTTCTCTGTGCTGTGCCCTGTCCCAGGCTCCTAACCGCTCTGAACAGGGCAGGTTCAGATGAAAACAGCAGGGCTCCAGGTTCCAGACACCCTGGGTTCTCCTTGTAACGTTATCTCGGAGACGAAGCCTTGGACTTGACCTTGACCTCTACACAGTGCGGATCCCTGCCTTGCCACCAGGCTGCAGCTGTAAACACTGAGTGAGAACATGAGTATGCGAGCCCACTGCAGTCATTGGTCAGGACAGCTGAGGCTTCCTTCCAGAATGTTCTGTGCAGCCATGATCATGTGTCTCCAAACACCTTGGGAAGTGACCTCAGGAGGCAACAGGAGAGACAAGCCGTCCCCAAGGTACCCTTTGGGGGAGGTCAGACCGGAACCTGACCAGTGTCTTCTCTCTTCTGCCCCTCCCAGGGCCTCCCTGGTGCCTGTGTACTCCTTTGGGGAGAATGACATCTTTAAAACTAAGGCTTTTATCGAAGGCTCCTGGCAGTACCAGTGCCAGTCACTCTACCATAAGATCACTCGTTTGCCTTTCTACATATTCTGGGGCCGTGGTCTCTTCTCACCCAACTCCTGGGGTCTGCTGCCCCTGCCCGTGCCCATCACCACTGTGGGTGAGTGCCCATCTGCAGGCAGGAGGCTGCTGTGGGTGGCACAGCCAGCAGCAGCTCTGGCTCACCTGTGTCTCCCTCCCCTGCAGTGGGCGGCCCCATCCCCGTGCCCCAGTGCAGCAGCCCCAGCGAGGAGCAAGTTGACCACTACCACAGGCTCTACATGGACGCCCTGGAGCGGCTGTTTGAGGAGCACAAGGAGAGCTGTGGGGTCCCTGCCTCCACCCACCTCACCTTCTTCTAGGCCTGGCTCGGCCTCCCTGCTGAACCCCTGAGCCCTGTGCACTGCGACCCCAGCTCCCGCCTTGACCTCCCCTCCAATAAAGGCTGGTTCTGGAGGGGAGTGTGGCCAGGCACTGCCACCCCATCCTGTCTGCTGCAGAGGGGCCGCCTGGGTTTGGTCTCAGCACCCTGCATTCTCCTGCCAGGAGAGCTGACTGTGCCCCAGGACCTGGGAGACGTCTCCCCGTCCTGGGCCCCTGCTCCCCCTGTGAAGCAAGGCTGCTGCTTAGCTCAGAGCTGGCAGTTATGAGAGTCAGGTGCCAGAGGTGTGTATTGAACCCAGGCACTGTGTGGGAATTGTGCATCTTTGTAATATTAGTTTATTTATTTGAAGGGGGGAGAGACAGAGAGAGATGTAAAGCAGAGAGAGAGAGAGAGAGAGAGAGAGAGGATGCTGATGAGAATCTGCTACCTCTTGGTTCACTTCCTAAACACCCTCAGTGGCTGGGGCTTGCTCCGGCATAAGCTTGGTCTCCCATATAGGCGGCCCAGGCTCTCGACACCTGCGGGGCTGCCTGCCCCACCCACAGCTGAGAACACGCACCTGCAGTCCCCCTGGTCAGAGCAGCTCAGGGACAGACACAGCCCCTTGCTGGCTGTCAAGTGCTGTGGACCTGACCGAGTGGTGAAGGCTGCTGAGGTCAGCCCAGGACCCTACTGCGGGGCCCCCCCAGCTCTCACGCCCCTCCCCCAGGTGTGTGGCCCTCCCACCAGATTCCTGTTGTCAGCTCCCAGGTGCCAGCCCCATAACCTGATGAGCTGATCCTACTGGGCGTGGTCGTGTGATGGGGACGGGGGGTTCCTGTCCTGGAGCCCTCACCCATGGCACAGCATGGGTCACAGGATGGAAGCCAGGAGGAGGAACGCTAGGTCCAGGCTGGCCAGGAAGGAACAGACAGGTCACTCAGCCTTGTCCTGGAGGATTTCTCCCGTCTCTGATGGCCACTGAGCGTTTCACACAACTGCAGGTGATGGGGTGTGTGTGGTGCTGTGGGGTAACATGGAAAAAGTTCAAGGTTCCCAGGAAAATCACTGGAGACAAAATGGCATAGCAGGTGATGCTGCCGTCTGCAGTGCCAGCAACTCATATGGGCGCCAGTTCGAGTCCTGGCTGCTCCACTTCCATCCAGCTCTCTGCTGTGGCCTGGGAAAGCAGTAGAAGATGGCCCAAGTCCTTGGACCCCTGCAGCCATGTGGGAGACCTAGAAGAAGCTCCTGGCTCCTGGCTTCAGATTGGCTCAGCTCCGACCATTGCAGCCATTTGGGGAGTGAACCAGCAGATGGAAGACCTCTCTCTCTCTCTCTCTCCCTCTCCCCCTCCCTCTCTGTAACTCTTTGTCTTTAAAATAAATAAATGAACCTTAAAAAAATAAATAAATAAAAAGGAGAGGCGATCAGACTGTAACCCGCTCCTTTTGCATCTGGAAATTATTTGATTGGTTCACTGTACACCCACTTCCGGTTCTATCAACCAATCAGAAATTAGTTTCCTCACATTCCCATCCACCTCCTATCCAAGCCACTCAGCAGGAAGATGTCACCATGAGTCCCGCCTCCAGAGCGCCCTGGGCCAATGGAAAGCTTTCCAGTCTCAGCTACTAAGGTACCAACATCCCACCCACCCCGACTTCACCTGGGCCAGGGGCGCTGGATGAGGTCAAAAATGACTTTGATTCTCCTGCTGGACCCGGGGGTGCTCCAGGGTGCGGTGAGGCTGCTCTTGGGCTCTGAAGTGGGATGGGAGAGGGATCCAGCTGTGAGAGGAGTGAGGCCCGGCTCGGCGGGTCCAGGCCCTGGGCCCTGTACCCGCAGAACTATCCGGGATGTTTGCTCAGCCCCGTGGCCTGGTCCTCGCCGCGCGGCAGTTGGCACACTTGGGTCATCACAGGCAGGGAAGCCGATTCTGGGAGGCTCTGTGACTTGGGGGAGACCCTGCGGGTGGTGAGGGCCACAGTCGGGGTCTCTGCCCGCAAACCAGGACCCCTGCCCTCTCAGCCCTCAGCGGTCAGTGGGGGACAGGCCCTGGGGACTGACTGCAATTGGAACCACAGAGCGAGGGTCAGCGCTCCGCGGCTGGGACGTCCTTGGTGGCTCTGCCTGCAGCGCGAGTGGCCTGGTGCAGCTGGGCTTTATTCTGGGAGAGCCCAGTGTGTGCTCAGTGCTCCCTGGGCCAGGGGCGCCGTGGGTCCCTGGTGATCCTCCACACTGCCCTCCCCTCCCCACTCTCCCTGTGACCCCTGAACCTTCACCCCATCCATCTGAAGGTCTCTGCAGGGGCACGCAGGGGACCTGGACTTGTCCCTGCACACTTTGAGCCTTCTCCCCTCCCCTGCCTCCCCGGCTCTGACTCGGCAGGCCTCGCCACCTTCCCAGCCCGCGCCCTCGCAGCTAAGGAGGAGACCAAAGACCACAGGGTTAGGTGACTGGCCCGCAGCCAGTGAGAGCCAAGAGCCTCCCCCGAGCCCCGCGGCAAAGGGAGCTGCAGAGCCTGGCAGAAGAGCGATGTCCCGGCTGCCACCCCCTGCCTGCTGAGTCCCGGAGCCACAGCTCCCTTATCTGTAGTTGGCCGCACCTGTTGTCCAGTCAGCATGACTGTACATCACGTCTCCACCCCTCATGCATCAACCGTGGACGGAAAGCCATTGGTGTGCAGGCTCTGCGGGACTTTAGGGGAAATGAGTCCTGCTCACGGGGTGACAGGGACAGTGACACCTGGCTGACCACGTCCCCAAGGGCGTCCAATTGGATACAGGAAACCCAGGCTCCTAACACAACCCCAAGCCAGCCACAGAGGAGCGGTGTGACACAGCTGGAATGTCACGTCCCGTCCCCCAGTCCGCAGGTTCACGTCTCCAGGACACAGAGGCCACCGCGGCTGTCCTGTTCTCTCCTTGCTGGTTTACTCAGACAATATCGGTGTGGTTTGCCAGGGGTCTGATGGATTCCACAGGAAGGCAGCCGTGGTGACTCCGGTAGCTGGCTTCCCTTTTTTCTATTTTGTTAAGACTTATTTATATATTTGAAAGTCAGAGTTACACAGAGAGAGAAGGAGAGGCAGAGAGAGAGAAAGAGAGAAAGAGAGAGGACTTCCATCCGCTGGTTCACTCCCCAGTTGGCCACAATAGCCTGAATTGGGCCAATCAGAAGCCAGGAGCCAGGAGCTTCTTCCAGGCCTCCCACACGGTGCAGGGGCCCAAGGACTTGGGCATCTTCTGCTGCTTTCCCAGGCCATAGCAGAGCTGGATTGGAAGTGGAGCAGCCAGGACTCGAAGCAGTGCCCATGCAGGATGCTGGCACTGCAGGCGGTGGCTTTACCGGCTATGCCACAGCACCGGCCCCAGTAGTTGGGTTCCTAGCAACCACCTGGAGTTCCTGGCCTGAATTCCCAGCCTTGGGCCGGTCCTGGATGTCACTGGCATTTTAGGAAGAAAATAGCAGATGGGAGACAGGTGTGTCTCGCTGTCTGTGTCTCTCAAATAAGTAAATAATCTTTAAAAATTGGTTGGGAGTATATTTGACACACAACTGGAGAGAACATGGATTTCAAAAACACCATGTTATGTGCAGTTTTTTTTTTTTTTTTTTGTCATCTAAAATGAGTCATCTGTTTAGAAACAGAGGCATCAGAACAGGGCAGCCCCGGTACGCCCTCCATGGCGTCGGCGATGATCCACTGCCATCAATGCTGTCCTGGTTGTCTTGTAGCTACCTCCCGCCCCCACCGACCACCTTACAGTCAGTTGCAGATTTTTCTCTCATTGTGTCGGTAAATAGTTCTGTATGTCTCTCTAAAGTAAGGATTCTTTAAAAATCTGGGCCCAGTGTCGTTAAGCTGCAGCAATGCCAGCGTCCCACATGGGCGCCATTTGAGTCCCGGCGGCTCCACTTCCCATCCAGCTCCTGCTAATGCACCTGGGAAAGCAGCGGAGGATGGCCCGAGTGCTGGAGCCCCTGCACCCACGTGGCAGGTCTGGAGGAGGCTCCTGGCTCCTGGCTTCAGATCGATGCAGCTCTGTCCGTTGTGGCCATCGTGGGAGTGAACCAGTGGATGGAAGACCTCTCTCTCTCTCTCTCTCTCTCTCTCTGCCTCTTCCTCTCTGTAACTCTGCCTTTCAAGTGAATGGATAAACCTTTAAAAAAAATACAAAATATATATAACCCCAGTATCCTTCTCACGGTGGGTGTGAGGCTGGGCCTCTCCTAAAGGAACGCCGGCGCCTCTGTGTGGGCCTCCCCCTCCATGTCCATCTCTGTCTGTCTGTCTGTCTCTCCTCTCACTGGCCCCCAGGAAGTCCTCTGCCCTGTCTTGAGCAGCCCACATTGGGGCACACACTCAGGGACGAGTCTCTCCCAGAAGCAGGGCCCGGCCTTGACCTCCAGCACCCTTGTGCTTCCTGCCTTGGCCTCTGCCCCCAATCAGATCCTTCAACCAGGAAGCTCGCTCCCTCCGGGTGTCCTGCTCTGGCCATTCAGACATGATGTCCCCACTTCCTGGATCAACTGGCCCTGCTGGCTTCCCAAACCCCAGGCAGCTCCCACGTGGGCCTGGCTTGGGCTCAGGTCAGCTCCCGTCCTCAGCAGGGTCGTCCTGGCTTCTCTGTCCCAGCTGGGCCTCTTGCCTTCTGTGGTCCTGTCCTGCCTCCTGCCGAGCCCTCCCCACCCCCACCCCTCACCCAGGGCTCCTTGGGCTTGGAATGCAGGTTGAGGCCCTTCACCCTCCCCCTAGCCCACAGAGAGGCCCCGCCCCTCCTTTGGCTCCACCCCCACCTGTGCAGGGAGGCCCCCAGCACCCCAGGGGCTGGGAGCAGTGCCTGCTGGCGGGGTCTCACCTGACCTTGGTGCCTCTGCCCCTCGGGGGAGGAACCCAGGGAGAACACACGGAGGGGAGCACACAGGACTGGGGACGACTCTGAGAGGCTGAGAGCCCCCTCCGAAGGGGAGGCCACCTGGGTGGGCTCAGTGCCCACGCTGCACACTCAGGGGGCTCGGGGCAGGCCCGGTGTCTGGGGAAAGTGTCCAGCCGGGAGCACTGTGGCTGCTGCAGGGCTGGCCTCGCTCCCGCCCCAGCAAGGAGGAAGACACGGGACCCCGTGGGGTCTGAACTCCAAGTGTTGTCCAGGTCATGCATGGTCAAGGATCCAGCTGGCTTTTCCCATCCTGCTCAGCTTGGGAACTACTGGGTCTCTCACAGAGAAAACCCTTCAGGTGCATGGACCGAAAACCAGGCTCTAGCATTTGGCCTCACACTTTCCCAGGTCTGGGATGAGGTTCCTGGTGGGCACTAGCTCCTCACCCAGCTCCTTGCTAATGACGGTTCTGGGAGGCAGGGGGATGGCTCCCGTGGTTGGGTTCCTGCCACCCACACGGAGTCCTGGACAGAGACACCAGGTCCTCCCCTCAGCCCTGGCTGCCTTAAGCCGTTGTGGGCGTTTGGGGTGAACCGGAGGGTGGGCGCTCCCCCGGCCGCTGTCTGCCAGGTTCTCTCTGTGCGCCCCAAATTAAAAACGTCCTCTTCTCTGCTCTCCCCCTCCACAGCTCCACTCCTAGGCCCTGGAGCGTCCTGCAGCCTCCCTTGCCGTGAAGGACAAAGTCCCAGCCTTGGACCGAGGGTGGAGCGTGGACTCCAAGCAGAGGAAGCGACCCCAGGCTGCCGCCGGCGTGGCCGTGGAGCTCATTGCCCGGGAATGGCCCCGACAAGCCAGAGGCCACCCGGACGCTGGCCCAGGGACGAGGGGAAGATCTCCCGAGAAGAGATTTTGTTGGACAGTGGACGACCAAGTGGCATTCCCATGATACGGCCACACGTTCTTTCTGTGTAAGTCCCAAGTGCAGAGAAGACGCCAGGGATTGAGTAGGACCGACAGGTGCCGGGGGATGCCCTGACCACACACAGGCTCTGCTGCGGTTTCCACGTGGTCTCTGTCCCTTTCAACATCTGTGTGTCGGGAACTCGGTCCCCAGGGAGGTGTGTGTGCCTTGAAGACCTGCGGCCTGGTGGGAGGTGCTGGAGTCATTTGGGGGCTCCTTAGAAAGGAATTGTGGGGCTCAGTTTCTTCTCCCTCTCTGCTGTAATGGCCACCTACCACGCTCCAGAGGCCCTGACCAGAACTTGAGCTGATACAGCACCATGACCTTGAAGCTCCAGCACCGTGAGCTGAATAAACCTCCTTCTCATCACAAATAGCTGATGCCTGAGGCCACTTCCCACTTGACTGTGCAGAGAACTTTCTGGAAGGAAGCCTCAGCTGTCTTGACCAATGGCTGTGTAGTGGGCTTGGCGTATTCATGTTCTCACTCAGTCTTTGCAGCTGCAGCCTGGTGGCAAGACAGGTAGGTGTCAGCCCTGTGTGCAGGTCAAGGTCAAGTCCAAGGCTTTGCCTCATACACGGTGAGAAAGGAAGCCCTAGGGCCCTGTTCTTTCCAGAGTGACCGGGTCTTGCTCAGAGCGGTGGCACAGAGCCTGGGAGCCTGAAACACTGTGTATCACAGAAGGCACCAGAGCTGACAGCACTGTCCAGTTGCTCAGCTCTGGTGACCTGCAGTGCCACCTACAGGAACTGGGAGGTCAGGGGGCTGAGTGGACGCCAGCCCAGCATCAGGACCTGCAAACCCACCCACCCGTGACTGACACCTTTGTGATCCAAGCAGAGCTGCCCTGGTGCCGCAGACGGGGCCCCATGGGCGCCCATATCAGGATGACCACCATCTGCCATAGCTGGGGCCATGACAGGAGAAAGTCCAGGCTGTGACGGCTCACGGGGCGCAGTCCTGAGGCCAGGTAGGTGGGAGCAGTCGCTGCCCCTTCTGGGCATCCCTGTTCCCCCACCTCAACCTTTAGCCCAGGGAGGGGGAGCCCCAAACCTTCCAGCTCCCAGCCTGAGCCCACCGCACGGCACAGTCAGGGCTCCGGGCAGGTCCCTCAGTCTGGAGGCGGGGAGAGGGTCCTGCTGTGGTGAGAAACAGCTTCTGCAGGGGCTGCTTCCTCCCATTCAGGGGCGGCTCGCCCCCAGGCATGATGCACTCCCAGAACATGGGGACATAGGAGCAGGCCAGCCAGGCCAGCCACGGCTGAAGTACAGGGCAGTCCTGGGAGGTGCTGCAAAATTACAGAAGGCCCTGGTGCCCATGGCCCCGTGGGGGTGGGATCCCAGCACGTAGTTCTGGCTGGGGGGCAGCTCTGCTGTCTTCACCAGCTGCAGGAGAGGAGGGAGGCAGAGAGGGGAGACAGCAGCTGCAGGTGCTACCTCTGCCCCTGCTGACTTCAGAGGTCAAAGCCCTGGGATGGGGTCAGGTGCACCTCTCCAACCCTGCCCCTCTGTGAGCCTGGGCAGCAGGTCTCAGGCAGCAGGACAGGGAAGGGACAGCAGGCGCAGGGGAGTGGGGTGGGGAAGGGGGAGGAGGCATCTCTGGGGAGGTGACCCCTCACCTTGATGGGAAAGTAATCCCTTTGGTGTTTCCACATCACTCAGTTCCTTGTCCACCCCCACCGCCTTCCCCTTGTGGGCAGAGATGCGGCTGGCAGAGTCCCTGAGGCACCCTCCCCACCTCTCCCCACCTGGAGCTCTGTCCAGGCAGAGCCACATCAGGTAGGGAAGAGACAGAGACCAGCGCCGTGTGAAGAGGAGAGGAAGAGAAGAAAGAAGGAACAAGAGCCTGGGGGATGGTGAGAAAGACAAGTGAATTCCCCTGGGAGCCTGGTGATTGCGCCCAGCTCCCCCCACAACCCCTGCCTGCAGAGACCACCGGGCAGTGGCGTCTCCTGTGGTCCTACCCCTGTCCTTTTGCCTGGGTGTCCAGGCCACCCGCACGGCCACCTGCCCCAGGCCCCCGTGTCTTCCCCGCCAGCTAAGAACAGCACAGCCAGCACTTAGTGGAGGACGCCCAGTGTTTGCAGCCAGTGCATGGGGCGGGAGGGCACAGGGGCTGAGGAGCTGGCTGGCCCCGTAGCCACCCTCTGCCTGCAGTGCTCCAGGTGGGGTCACAAGTGTCTCTTCACCCAGGGTCCAGTGTGTGGCTCGGGAGAAGCCTGTGTCTGGAGCACTGGAAGTGTCCAGGCTGTTCTCAGAATAATCTTAGACCACCAGTCAGTGTGGGCAGGCTCCTGGGAAGCGCTGGGAGAGGGTGCCAGTGTGCAGGGGAGGGGCCGCACCTGGGCACCCTGAGCCAACTGATGCGGGGCACAGAGAAGCAGGTGGCCCTGGCTGGGAGCCCAGCTGATACCCGGACCCTGTGTGTTGACCTCTTTGCCATGGTCTGAGAATTTCAAGGCTCCACGGGGAGCCTGCACGCACCACGCACACAGACTCATCCTGTCTCTTTCCACCTTTTAATTTGCACTCTCACCTCCAGGCCCTCTCCACCCCCCACATCTGCCCCCAGCATGGAAGGTTCCCATTGGGGCCAGACTCCGACCAGGCTAGGTGAGGAGGAGATGCCTGTCCACAGGGAGGCGGTAGAGCGCCCCAGCCTCCTCACACAGCTGCCTACAGCCCCTGTACGCGCGCATCTCTGCACAGAGGTCACCGCAGCCGCTGCAGGGACCACAGCAGCCCCTTCCTGCAGCCAGGAGAGGCGGGGCCAGAGTTCAGCGCTGGGGCAGTAGCCAAAGGACCACTCGGGAGAGCAAGGCTTGAGGACCACCTCGGGGACCTGTCCGGCCAGCGCACAACGGGGACCCCGCCTGGCTCCTGGGACACTGCTTGAGCTGAAGGGCCACTCTGGGGCTCACTGGTGTAGTGGATGGGCATGGAAGGGCAGCAGGGGGCACAGGCGGCCTGGGAACTGTGGTGGCCCAGCACTTCGTGGCGCGCAGCACAGCCAGCAGCATGGAGGGTTCGGGCACTGCTTCAAGAGCTCCTTCTCCCAAACCTGGAGAGGCCCCACGGGTGCAGGGGTGCGGCCGAGTTTCAGGCAGGCGCCCACGAGGCTCCTTGCAGCGCGGTGTGGGCGCACCCGCCTGGCCACAGCAGCTCCTTTTACTCCTGTCCCAGCGCCACAGTCCGTCCTGAGCACAGATCCGCAAAGGCTGGGCTCAGGGTTTTGCATCCAAAGGCCAGACAAGGACTTATCAGACAGGTTGGGTGGAGGGGGAGAGAATAAGGCTGGGTGGCTTGTACCTGCCCTGCTCACTGGCAGAATGGATTTTTATAGGAGGGGCGGGGCAAGGCAGGAGCTGGGGGTCTCAGTGCATGGGGCTCAGGGGTTCAGCAGGGAGGCTGAACCAAGCCTACAAGAAAGTGAGGTGGGTGGAGGCAGGGACCCCACAGCTCTCCTTGTGCTCCTCAAACAGCCGCTCCAGGGCGTCCATGTAGAGCCTGTGGTAGTGGTCAACTTGCTCCTCGCTGGGGCTGCTGCACTGGGGCACGGGGATGGGGCCGCCCACTGCAGGGGAGGGAGACACGGATGAGCCAGAGCTGCCGCTGGCCATGCCACCCATGGCAGCCTCCTCCCTGCAGATGGGCACTCACCCACGGTGGTGATGGGCATGGGCAGGGGCAGCAGACCCCAGGAGTTGGGCGAGAAGAGACCACGGCCCCAGCAGAAGCACAAAGGCAAACCAGTGACCTTCTTGTAGGTGACCTGGCACAGGTACTGCCAGGAGCCTTTGGCGAAAGTCTTACTTTTGAAGGAATCATTCTCCCCAAAGGAGTACACAGGCACCAGGGGGGCCCTGGGAGGGGCAAAAGAGAGAGAGTTGGGGAGAGGGGTCAGGTTCCTGGACTGCCTACTCAGCAAGCACCTTGGGAGCCAATGGGTCCCTCCCCTGACTCCTGAGGCAAATTCCCCAGTGCCTGTGAAAACACAGGACCATGTCTGCACAGAACATTCTGGAAGGAAGCCTCAGCTGTATTGACCAATGGCTGTGTAATGGGCTTTGCATATTCATGTTCTCACTCAGTGTTTACAGCTGCAGCCTCGTGGCAAGGCAGGCGTCAGCCCTGTATACAAATCAAGATCAAGTCCAAGGGCTGGCCTTGGATACAGGACAGAGCGAGAACCAGAACTTGGTTTCTGGAACCAAGAGCCCTGCTGTTTTCAGTCTGAACCTGCTCTGCTCAGAAGGGCTGGGACCCTGGGAAACTGGCACAGTGCAGGGCAGAGACCCAGGCAGGCAGGACCCACAGCCCCACCTTCAGGCACATGGGTGACTGCACCGGGAAACCAGCCCAGATCGGCACCCACACACCCACTCACCCATGCCTCAGCGCCAGGCGCACAAAGCCTTTTCGATTCAGGAGTTCCAGGCAGTGCCGCCCTGGGGCCGTGTACAGGGACTCCTGGACGCCCCCGATGACAATGACCACCACCTGGCCCCGCTGGGGCTGAGACAGCACAAAGTCCAGGCTGTGACGGCTCGCGGGACGCAGTCCTGTGTCATGTGCAGTGGGGAGCAGTCACCACTCCCTCGGTGGCTCCTGATTCCCTCACCCCACCCTGTAACACGGGAAGGGGCAGCCCCAATTCTGGAACATTCGAACCCTTGTATCCCCCACGTGAGTCCACTGCTGAGCAGCACCTGGCTCAGGGCAGATCTTGTTGTTTTGGATGGGGAAGCAGGGTGTTGGTGGGGGTGTGGACCAGTCCAGACAGGGGCTGCTTCCTCCCTGTCAGGGTGAGGCTCACCACTCAGCATAATGTAGTCCCGGAACACGGGAACGTAGAAGATGCCGGCCAGTGTGGCTACCCAGGGCTGCAGCCCTGGGAAGCGCTGGGAGAAGTCATTGCACTCAGTAAGGAAATTACAGAAGGGCGCAGTGCTCATGATGCCGTGGGGGTGGGCCCCCAGCACGTAGTTCTGGCTGGGGGGCAGCTCTGCCGTCTTCACCAGCTGCAGGAGAGGAGGGAGGCAGAGAGGGGAGACAGCAGCTGCAGGTGCTGCCTCTGCCCCTGCTGACTTCAGAGGTCAAGGCCCTGGGATGGCTTCAGGTGCACCTCTCCACCCCTGCCCCTCTGTGAGCCTGGGCAGCAGGTCTCAGGCAGCTGGACAGGGAAGGGGGAGCAGGTGCAGGGGAGTGGGGTGGGGAAGGGGAAGGAGGCATCTCTGGGAAGGATGACCCCTCACCTTGATAGGAAAGTAATCTCGTTGATATTTCCAAATCCTCCAGTGCCGTGTCCACTCACACCGCCTTCCCCCTGCGGGCAGAGATGTGGGTGGCAGACTCCCCGAGGCACCTTCTCTATCTCCCCCACCTGGAGCCCTGCCCAGAGCTCACCTTGGCTGGGTGTGTCCCTGTCCAGGTAGATCCACAACATATAGAAAACAGACAGAGACCAGAGCCTTGTGAAGAGGAGGAAGAGGAGAAGAACAATGGAGAAAGGACCTGGGGAACGGTGAGAAAGAAAAACAAATTCTGCTGGGAAGCCCAGATTTTCAGCCCAGCTCCTGCCCCGCTCCACCTGCATGGAACAGTGGGCAGGGGCATCTGCCTTGGTCCTGTCCTTGTCCCTTGACCCATGTGTCCCGGCCAGCAGCCCAGCTGTTTCCAGCCGGTCCCTCTCCACCAAGCAACCCCAGGCGCCTCTGTCTCCCCCTTATTCTCACCTAGGACCACGAAAGCAAGCACATAGTGCATGGCGCCCAGTACTTCCAGCCACTGCTTCTTCAGGGTCTTCACAGGGCAAGGGGGCACGGAGGATGTGGAGTCAGCCATCCTGGTGCCACCCTCTGCCTGCAGGGCTCCAGGTGGGATCACAGGAGTCCCCTCTCCCACGGTCCAGGCTGTGGCCAGCGAGATGCCTGTGTCTGGAGCCCTAGAAGTGTCCAGGTTCCCTCTGGGGCTGATCTTCAATGTCCTGAGTCTGTTGATCTGGGCTGGCCCCTGGGAGGAGCTGAAAGGGAGAGGAGGGTGTGCAGGGGGAGGGGCAGCACCTGGGTGCAAAGCAACTGATGCAGGGAGTGGACAGAGCCTGGCTCAGCCCCATTTACTCCCAGACAGTGCCAGGTACCAGGAGCCCGACTGAGACTGCACAGAGCGGGACCCCACTCTGGCCTCTTTGGGGGTCTCTGGGAATTTCAGGGCTCCCTGGGGAGCCTCTCCAGATCTTTCCACGCATCTTGGACCACCCACTGTGCAGACAGACACCCAGACCCCACAGGTGCCTTCCCACCTGAGTTCCACTCCCCCACTGAAGGCGCTGGTTTGGGGCCAATGTCAGTGCCTTGCCCAGGGGAGGACCAGATGCCCATCTGTGTGGACGCCGTGGTGCACCTGCACCCCTTGTGCAGCTCTGTGAGCTGCTCCAGGTAGAGTGTGTGCAGCACATCCATCTGAGGCCGGCTGGGCCATGGGCATTGCTGCACCGGGACTTGGGACCCCTCTGTGGGTGGACAGTGGTCGCCAGGATCCCCCATCCATAACCACAGCCAGATGCCATGAGATGGAGTTCAGGGCTGCGGAGTTTCCCGAGGCACACTTAGGGTGCAGGGCACAAGCAGCTGGAGGAGCTCCTTTTCCCCATAGAAGTAGGAGATGGGCACCAGGGAGGCCCTGGGGGAGCAGGGGCACATGGAGCTCTGGCCCCTTCGGGCTCGCTTGTACCCGAGGTGCAGCCCTGGTGCCCCCGCCCGGTCACCTGTGGGCCTTATCAGAAGAGCCCACACCTGGAGGGACAGCACGGGTTGGGGGACCTTACACCTGTGCTTGGAGAGAAGAGAGCAGACCACACTCGGAAGTAGTGGCTGAGGCAGCAGTAGCTCCCCCCCCCGTCACATGGGAGGTGGACAAGGCGCTCCCCAAGATGTGGTCCCAGAACACAGGGAGGTGGAGCCAGCAGGGCAGCCTGAGCAGGTGCAGCACAGGCCTGGGGGTGGTGGGGGAGACACGAGAAGCCCGAGGCCTCAAAGCAGAGGGTCCCCCACTCCACGGGGGAGGAAGCAAGGGCAGGAGGTGGCCCAGGAGGATCCAGCTCAGCCAGTTCCACCAGCTGGGGAGCAGAGGGCGCAGCCCCACCTGTCCCTGGGGCTGCTCTTGTTGGGGGGGGTCCCAAGCCTCACCCCACCCCAACACAGCATGCCCAGTACCCTCAATGAGATGGGGACGTTAGGGAAACGTCCCCCTACATGCACGTGTCAGGAACTCGGTCTCCAGAGAGGCAGTATTGGGAGCTGTGTGGACCTTAAAGAGATGGGGCCTGCTGGGAGGTGCTGGGGCCCTTGGGGGAGCTTCGGAATGGGATTGTGGGGCCCACTCAGTCTCTGTGTCTCTCTAATCCTGGTTCCTGACATAACCGCCATCCACCACGCTCCAGATCTGGAGCTGATACGGGCACCGTGACCTTGAACCTCAACACCGCGCTGAATAAACCTCCTCTTCACAAACGGCTAGCGCCAGGTGTTTGCTTACAGAGACCAAAGCTGATGCAGACTGGGACCTTGGTCTCAGCCCTCATATCCCCGAGCCCCAGCAGGGATGACGGGGACACTGATGACGAGAAGACGGGTGGGAGCCTCCCCGGGCCCTCACCCTGAGCCCTCCTCTGTCCTAAGCCTTCACGTCTTCATCCGTTGCATCTTCACCTCGGCCTGTGGGGCTGAGCCTCCTGCTGGTGGCACTGGCTCTGGATGCTGCTGAAACACAGCCTGGCCTCGGCTGCTCTCCCAGCTCCAAGGACACTAAAGGCTGGGGAGGCCAGGGGCAGCTCTGTGCTCAGCTCTCTCTGCTCTTGCCCCGGGTCCTCCCATCCCTGCACCTGCTGGGCCTGACCCAGCTCAGCTCTGCCCCAGCTGCCCCCTCCCCACCCCTCCGGGGTCTCCTCCCAACCCTGTCCTGATTCTGCCAGCTCTGAACTAAGCGGCAGCCTTGCTTCACAGGGGGAGCAGGGGCCCGCGAGGGAGAGATGTCTCCCAGGTCCTGGGGCACAGTCAGCTCTCCTGGCAGGAGAATGCAGGGTGCTGAGACCCACCCCAGGCGGCCCCTCTGCAGCAGGAGGACGGGGTGGCAGTGCCTGGCCGTGCTCCCCTCCAGAACCAGCCTTTATTGGAGGGGAGGTCAAGGCGGGAGCTGGGGGTTGCAGGGCATGGGTTTCAGGGGCTCAGCAGGGAGGCCAAGCCAGACCTAGAGGAAGGTGAGGCGGGTGGAGGCAGGGACCCCGCAGCTCTCCTTGTGCTCAGGCTGCAGGACAGGGAAGGGTGAGGAGTGCGGGGGAGTGGGGTGGGGAAGGGGGAGGAGGCATCTCTGGGGAGGCTGACCCATCACCTTGATAAGAAGATAATCCCTTTGGTGATTCCAGATCACCCAGTTCCTTTCCACCCCTTCCGCCTTGGCCCTGTTTGCAGAGAGTTCTGGATGGCAGAGTCCCAGAGGCACCCTCCCCATCTCTCCCCACCTGGAGCCCTGCCCAGAGCTCACCTTGGCTGGGTGTGTCCCGGTCTGGGTAGATGGATATCAAGTAGGGAACAGACGAGACCAGAGCGGTGTGAAGAGGAGAAGAGAAGAAGGAAGGAACAACAAACTGGGGGAAGGTGAGAAAGAAACATGGGTTCCCCTGGGAAGCCCAGTTCTTCAGCCCAGCTCCTGCCCCCTCCACCTGCACGGATCACCTGGCAGGTGCATGCTTCTGGCGTGTTCCTCTGCCTTGGCCCAGGCTTCGGAACGGCAGCACAGCCTCCACCTCCCAGTCCCTTCTTCCCAGGCACCCGCCTCCCCACTCTTCTCACCTTAGAGGACGAATGTCTGCATCCCTTAGGAGGCGCCCTGTGCTTCCAGCCGCTGCTTCTGCAGGGTCTTCACAGGGCAGGGGTGGGGGGCACAGGGCCCTGCAGCTCCCCTCTGCCTACAGGGCTCCACGAGGGTTCACAGGTGTCCCCCTGGCCCAGGGTCCGGGGTGTGGCTGGAGAGATGCCTGGATCTGGAGCCCAGAGTGTCCAGGCTCCCTCTGAGACTGACCTCTAAACGCCCTGGGTCATAGGTCTAGGCTGGCCCCTGAGAGCGCTGGGAGGGGGTGAGGGGTGGGGGCAGGGCGGTGCCTGGGAGGCTGAGCAACTCACAGTGGGCGTGGCCAAGCAGCTGCCCACCAGCACACTGGGTCCCAGGGGCCACAGCCCAGCTGAGGCTGGGTGAGCAGGACCTTGAGTGCTGACCTCTTTGTGGGTGTCGGGAAAGGAAGCCTCCCTGGAGACCCCGCCCCCCAGACCCTGTGGGCCCAGCACCACCCGACTGAACACACAGACACGGAAAAGACACGGGTCTCTCCCACCTTTAATTCCACTCCCCCACCCGCAGTCGCCCAGGGGAGGGGAGGGGCCTGATGGCGGGAGGTCCCGCTAGGTGAGGACGAGGTGCCTGTCCGCGGGGACACCGTAGCGCGCCTTGTGCTCCTCAAACAGCTGCGTGAGCCGCTCCACGTAGAGCGCGTGCAGCGCGTCCACCTGCGCTTGGCTTGGCCGCGGGCATCGCTGCACTGGGATCGCCGCCCCCACTGCGGATGGAACGCGCTTGCTGGCCTCCCGCGGGTCGCAAGAGCGGCGGCCACTGGGTGCGGGGCTGGGGCACTTGCCCACGCACGCGCTGGGGAACCAGGCGGCGCTCCAGCCAGCGGGCCCTGAGCCAGGGGATCGGGCGCGGCGCGCGACCGCAGGGGCGAGGCCGGGGCTCACCGACAGTGTGGACGGGCGCGCGGAAGGGCAGCAGGAGCCCCAGGCGGCCGTGGAACAGCGGCAGGGCCACGCTCAGCAGCGGCTGCAGCGCTTCCTGTGCGCGGCGCAACCAGGAGCCCGGCGGGTTCGGGCACTGCCGGAAGAGCTCGTTCTCCCCGAACGAAAAGACAGGGACTAGGGAGGCCCTGGGGAACAGGGGCGCAGGTGAGCCTGGGCCGAGACGTGGGCGCCTTGCTGGGCGCACCGCCCCGCGCCGCTCCTCACCCCTGCTCCAGCGCCAGCTTAATGAATCCCTTCTGGTTGCGGATCCGCAGGCTCAGGCCTCCGGGTTTTGCTTCCAGCGCCTCCAGAGCGCCGCCCACGACCAGGACAGCCACCTGGCCGCCCTCTGGCCTGGACAGCAGATAGGCAGCACTGGCCTTGGTAGAGGAGACCAGACCTGGGCGGATGGCAGACGCTGGGGCACCTCATGCTGGGATACTGAGGAGGGGGGAGGGCGCGGAAGGGGGCGCTGGGGCCTGGAGTTCCAACCCCGCCCCATACACGTGGGAGGGGGGCAGGCCCTCACCACTGGACATGATGTAGTCCCGGAACAGCGGCAGGTGGAACCAGCAGGGCAGCATGAGCAGGTGCGGCCGGAGCCCAGGGAAGAGGCGGGAGAAGCCCGTGGCCTCTGTGCAGAAGTTGCTGAAGGCCCCGACCGCCAGGACTCCGTGGGGGTGGAAGCCAAAGAGGTAGTTTTGGGAGGGGTCCAACGGGGCCGTCCTCACCAGCTGGGGAGCAGAGGGGGCAGCCCCACCCGTCCCTGAGACTGTGCGTGGAGGAGGGGGCTCCCCAGTCTCCTCTGAGCCCCCTACCCCCAGCACAGCGTCCTCGTAGCCCTCACCGAGATGGGGAAGTAGTCCCGGAAGTGTCTCCAGACGGCCCAGTCCCGGACCCAGGCAGAGCGGCGGCCTCCAGTCCTGGGTGTGTCCCTGTCCCAGTACAGCCAGACCAGGTAGAGGACCCCAAGGGTCCAGGCCCGGCTCAGGAGCACAAAGATCAAGGCCACCAGGCACACCTGGGCTGGAGCAGGGGGCGCACTCAGAACCCAGGAGCTGCATTCCAGTGTCCCTCTGCCCCTGCCCTGGTTCCAGGGCCAAAGTCCCCTCCCCACCCCCACCCACCCACCCACAGGCTCCCCAGGTTGCTTCCATGGCCTGGGTCCCTGGGCTGCCTCCCTAAGGGAAAGGGGAGGCAGAGGCACCTGCATCCCCAGGCTTTGGGGACTCACCGAGCGCTAAGAAGGAGAAGACCCACTGGGAGACAGCGAGCACTTGGAGAGCCCCGCGGAGGGGGCTGCAGGAGGCCGCCATCTTGGGGGGGGCCTTGCACAGGGGCACCCACTGCTCTTGAGCACCTTCCCTTGTGGCCCCACCCACTGGCCCTGACCCCTGGACCTAGCCCCAGGTCATCTCCACCCCCTCTGTGAGCCCCAGCAAGGAAGGCCACCTGAGCTCACGGAGCTGTGACCAATAGGACCCCTCGGATATACCAGGGGTGGGGCCAGGAGCTGGGAGAGGGGGAGGGGGGATTTGAACTTTGTGGGGGGGTGGGGCCTCGGGCTCAGTAGGGAGCTGGGTCCCCCCCCCCCCCCCAGGCAGGGCGGTGCTCTGCACAGGAGCAGCCTGAACCCTGAGCTGTCAGGAAGTGGCTCCCAGAACCTGGGACCTGCAGGGGGCGAGGCCAGGGGACAGGCCCTGGAGGGTCCTTCCCTGCCCCAGGGCCTCCCCAGCCCTGATAGTGGCCTCTGGGCATCCTCACCAGGACAGCTTGTGTCACATCAGCAGGGAAGCCTGCTGCCCCTAGCAGGTGCCTGTCACATGCCCCGCTGGCATCAAGGTGATTCTCCAAGGTCATCTCTGAGCAGTAACTAACAGGTGGGCAGCTGTGGTGTGCCTGGCTGTGACCCCCACACTCAGTGCCCAGCACCCCGTGGTACCTGTTCACGAGTGGGGGTCTGCAGGAGCCGGGCTAAGCCTCCCTCCCATGTTCAGGCTGTGCTGGGCAGCACAGGGCACACAGTTTCTGTCCCTGTCCAGAGGCCTTGCCACGAGCAGTGTTCTCCTGTCCCTGCTCAGTCCATGGCCAAACACAGGGCCTGGTCTGAAGGCAGTGGAGCACAGGGCGAGAGGACGGGCCGTCCACAAAGGAGGATAACCCCAGCGGGCCATCAGCACCGCCCTCCTGCCAGGGGGCTCCAGCTGGGGAGGGGGAAGGGTCCGGAACCAACAAAACGCCCTGGGCCAGGTGGCGTCAAGGCCTCTAGCAGGGAACAGAGAGGAGATCCAGGGGCAGCCCCCAGGGAGCCGCAAGGGCTTGGGGGTCTCCCAGAGGCTGGAAGGAGCCCTGCTCTCAGGTCTCTCCTCCTCTCACAGCCCCCTCTGCCAGGAAGCTCTCCAATGATGACCCTGCAGGGAATCCCGTTCCCTGGTCATGCCCAGGTTCAAGTTTAGGTCCAGAGCACGTGCGTGTCCAGGGGGCAGCTCCTGTGCCAGTGCCGTCCTTGGCTCCTGCACCCATCCTTGGGGAGGTCAGGGGCCTGCGTGGGGCTGGGGCCTCCACCTGAACCGGCAGGTACAGCCTTTCCCGCGCTCTGCCCGCAGTGCTGGGCAGGGGACAGGGTGGCGGGCAGGAACAGGACCAGACAAGGGGGGATGACAGACAACCCACGGACTCAGAGTTACAAATCCTCCTTTAGTGGGAGGGAACAGTCTCAATAATTTATCACCCAGGGCACCCCCAGGAGACCCTTTCCCCAGGAGCCCTTGCGGGCTCTAGGGAGGGGGCTGTGTCTGGGCAGGGTGGGGGCGGGGGAGGTGCACGACACGATCAGTCCCAGGCACGCTCAGCACACATTCAGGACGCGGGGAGACCGGCGGCCGCCCCTTTCCGGCGGCTGGGGCTGCGGCTGGGGCTCCCCTGAGAAGGCACCATGGCAGTGAAGGTTTGGCACAGTGGTTGCGTGTCAGGGGTCGACAAAGGACACCATGATATAGCGGGTGCCCCGAGTGGTGGGCAGCCCCTCGTGGTAGTGGGTGAGGCGGCCGGGGTGCAGGAGCCCCCAGCCCTTCCGCGGGGCCGAGATCACGCAGTCGTAGCGCAGGAAGCGGCAGCCGCCACCCTGGTGGGGGGAGTGAGAAAGGAGCAGGCGAGGGGGCTGAGCACACACCTGAGCTGTGGGGGTGGTGCCACACGGGGGGGGGGGGCATCTGCGGGAAGGGGGCAGGAAGGCACGGGGTGGGGGTGGCAGGAGCTCCAGGTAAGGGTCCCCCCCACCAGGGCATAGGGCATGCACATGGGGAGGAAGGCACGGGGTGGGGGTGGCAGGAGCCCTGGGTAAGGGTCCCCCTGTCCCGGGCGTGCACGTGGGAGGAAGGCACGGGGTGGGGAGGTGGCAGGAGCCCTGGGTAAGGGTCCCCCCGCCCCAGGGCATGCACGTGGGTGTGTGCTGACGGGGGAGGGGCTCACCTCATAGTCCAGGCCCTTGTGGTTAAGGGCCACGTTGAGGGTGAAGGTGGAGGAGTCGTGATGTGGCCGCAGAGAGGGCTGCTCGTCCGGCCGATAGCGAACCACGAAGTTCATCACCGCCCGGGCCTGCAGGTGCAGAGAGCAGAGGATGGGGGGAGGGGCTGCTGGGGAGAGCACAGCACCCCCCCACACACACACACACCTCGAGACCCCCAAGGTCTCACTGCTAACTGGCGCCGCGGCTAAGCCACGATGCACCCCGGGTCTCGGCCTGCCTACTTCTGGCCCGGTCCCTGTCCCCGCTCCCCGTCTCATTCCTGGGACCTGGATTCCACAGAACCTTAGACACGGGAGCTGATGGGGCTCTGGGTGGCCACTGGCAGGCTGGGGCAGAGGTGGCGGTGGCAGGGGCGGTGAGGGCAGCCGCAGCGGCCTACCTTGGTGTGGTAGCCCGGAAACAGGCTCTCGGTCATGGGGCCCACGTAGGTCCTCAGCAGCTGCAGCCACTGGTCCTCGTAGCCCACCTGCTTCATGTGGATGTCCACGGTGGGCACATTCTCGTAGCCTCCGGCCAGCCTTGAATCCTGGGGGCAGTGGACGCTGAGCCGGGGCCCCTCCGCGCCCCGCCCGGGCCAGGCCCCCTCCCCCATGCTCCCAAGTCTTCACACGCTTGCTCTCCGTGCCTGGAGCACTCCTTCCCTACTTCCTGATTTCACAGCTCCCATGAAGCCCTCCTGTCCCCCCAGGCAGGGACAAGGGCTGCCCGTCCCAGCCTCTGGAAGCTGGGCAGCTGCTGCTCGGGACAGGAGGGCAGAGCCTGCCCTGCCTGGCGCCTCGCTGCACCTGCACGTCCTGGCCAACGGCCCAGTGACGTTTCCTCGATGCAGGCGTACTGCCTGGGGCTCACTTCCCCGTGTGTCCCCCCCATCCATTCCATCGCCCCCGGTCTCAGCGTCCCCTCCTCCCGGGAGGCCTGGACCCTCACCTCATGCCGGCCTCCTGACCACTGGCCGTAGTGCTCCATCTCTTCCACCAGCTCGTCACACATCTGCTCTGACAGCAGCGGGAACCAGTAGACATCCGGGCACGGCTGGGGTGGGGCGGGGAAAGGAGGAGCAGCGCTGGGGTGGGTGCTCACAGAGCAAAGGCAGAGGGGGAGAGGGAGGAGAGGCTGGGGCAGAGCAGGGCGGCCTGCGGGTCCGGGAGCCCCAGGTTCCCACCCCTCCACAACAGGCACCTCTTTTTGACATCCTAGTTTCACCCATAAACCGATCGCTACGCCCCGGACACAGAGGAGGTCGCGCGGGCTGGAGCCCCGTCGGCTCGACTGCTGCCACAGGACTCACCTGCTCCACCATCCCGTCCCCTTCCAGGGCCCTGCTATAGTTCTCGTGGATGTACTGCTCCTTCCAGTCCTGGGGGGGCAGGATGGGGTGACACAGAGGATGGGGGGGACCCTGAGATGCGGCCCAGGCAGCCCCCGCCGCCTCCTCGGCTGCCGGCCCCCACTCACCACAGGGTTGTCGAAGATCTGCCACAGGTCGGGGTGCAGGTGGTCCGTGTCGTAGCGGGACGTGGCCAGGAGGCGGCCAAACTCATGCCGGTTGCTGAGGTGCAGGAAGATGCCCTGGGTGGGGGCGGGGCGGCGAGCACGCGTGAGAAGGGCGCTGGCCACGGCAGCGGGCGGCCGGCCCCCGGCACCCGCCCGCCAGCCCTCACCTGGTCACGCAGGCTCTTACAGAAGGCCATGTCCGGGTCGGTGTCGCTGCTCGAGAACACCTCTCTCTGGGGCAGCTCGGTCCGCAGGGTCTCCCCGCGGATCACGTAGGCCTGGGCTATGTAGGGCACATTCCACACGCCCCTGGAGGCCCGGACGCTGGAGTCAGCGCCCGATTCTTGCCCTCAGGACACTCACGCCCCCTGTCGGGGACTGCGGGGGTCACGAGGCATCTCCCCACCCCCAGTGTGGCAGGAGCGCCTGGGAGCAGGCGACACTCACACTCGCTTCCGCTGCACCAGTTCCACGTAGTCCTCGGAGCGGGCGTAGTACTCGTCAGGGCTCAGGGCCCCCCAAAAGTTGGACCAGAGCTTGCCGTGGCGGGACAGCATGGGCGCGATCACCTTCCTGCACGGCCGGGCGGTGGTGAGGCCGCGGGGGACCCCTCGAGCCAGTGAAGGGGAGGGACTCCGGGGGGCCGCGGGGCGGGGCCGCACCTGTTCTCCTCGATGAGGAGGCGAAGGGTCTGCCGGTTGGTGAGGACCACATCGGCGTCCAGGCTGAAGTAGAAGTCGCACTCAGGGTCCTGCCGACAGCTGTCCCTGCGGGTGACAGGCCCACGGCCAGGTGAGCCTGGGCAGGGCGGGCCCTTAGCGCCCTCTGCTGTGTGATGGGCACAGGTGGGGGTGGCCCCGGGCCAGGGAAGCTGAGGGCCACCGGCTCACTCACATGGCCATGTCCCTGGCCTCGCCAGGACTCAGGGCCTCCTCCGGCCCCACCAGCTTCACGGCCGCAAAGCGGTTCTGCAGCTGTGGCCAGGCGTCTGCCACGTGGGGCTCGTGGTACACCTCCTGTGGGCGGGGTCAGGGGCTGCACTGAGAGGGTGGGCAGGGAGGGGCAGAGCCCGGGAAGAGGGCGGCCCCCGGGGGCATGGCCTCACGTTGTTGTGCAAGAAGAGGGTGACCCTGTCCAGTGGGTAGTCCAGAAGCAGCAGCCGCTGGAGGAAACGGGGCAGGAACGGGGTGGGCTGTTCCACAAACACGGCCAGGAGCACCCGGGGGGGAGGCTGCAAGAGACGCCATAGGGCTGAGGGCCTCCCCTGTACCCTCAGCCCCAGCCAGGCACACCCCGCAGGGGGAGGCTGCAAGAGACGCCGTAGGGCTCAGGGCCTCCCCTGTGCCCCCAGCCTGGGCCAGGCGCTCCCAGCAGCTGGCACCCCTGCCTACCTGCCCCCCCGGGAGTGGCCTCCGGTCCTGGTCGCAGAACCCACAGCCTCCCTCGGGCGTCCAGCCCTTGGGGACGTAGTTTCCCAGGTAGTTCAGTGGGAGCTGTTGGGGGAAGGCAGGGAGGGGCTGAGGCAGGGGCCGGGGGGGGAGCTCTCCCCCTGCACCCCTGCATAGAAGGGGCGAGGTCCCCTCCCCCCGAGGGGCTGCTCAGAAGGGGCGAGGTCCCTGTGGGCACCTTGGTGGGCCCATTGCCATGGACCACGACGGGGAGCGTGTCGTAGGCCACGTTCCGGATGCGCACGCGGTTCCGGTCGAACTTCAGCACCACCTCATCTGGGGAGGAGGAGGAGGAGGAGGAAGGGCCGAGTGTCAGACCTCCTTTCCCCGGAGGGGCTGCCCCAGGCTCGGCTGCGGAGGGGACCCCATGCCCGCCCTGCTGGGGGCCCTGTCCAGGCTGTGCCTGCCAACCCCATGGCCAACCCTGCAGGGACCTGCCCTTGGTTGGAGCCTTGCACGGGGTGAGCTCACAGAGGGAAAGCCCTTGGCTGCCCGCTGCTGCCCCGGCCCCTGGCTGGCACGGAGCCACATCTGCCCCCCTCCCCCCCTCCTCACCCAAAGCCCCATTGAGGTTCTGGAAGATGCGGGACTTGTGGTCCAGATTCAGCTTCAGTTTTTCCTGGAGGGGATAAGGTTTCATTGCAGGGGGTGCACGGTGGTGGGCACCTTCCCCACGCCCCCCGCACTCCCTCCCCTCTCGCCCAGCCCGGGACCCCGGGCCTCCCCTACCCTCAGCCCCGGGTCCAGGTAGAGGCGCGTGTAGAACAGCTGGTCATCATCGTCATCCTTGTACTTCCACTGCCTCACGATCTGGTGGATGGTGGGGGCGAAGCCGATGAAGCCTGGGCGAGGAGAGCGGCGGTGTTGACCCCAAGACCCCCAGGTGCCCCCAGCCCGCAGGCCCCAGGCCCCTCTGCCACTCACCACCGGAGTTGAGGAAGCGCTTCCCCGTGCCCACCTCCGGGTACTGCTCCGCCAGCCCCCACTCGGGCCAGCAAAAGCTCTCGGCCGAGAACAGCAGGCGGCTGCCGCTCTGGACAAACTTCTTCAGCAGCTCTGAGGGGCTGCCTGCCAGGATCACGTCGTAGCTGGGCGCGGAAGGGGTGCGTGAGCAGGGGGCCGCCCCGCACCTCGGCAGGCTCCTCCTGCACCCCAGCCGGCTCTACCTGTCCACGAACATGATGACCATGTCCTCCCGGTCTGCATACTGCTCCATCTCCTTCTTCAGCCACCGCACCTTCTGTCCTCCGCCCACTGTGCGGGCCACATCGCCCCCTCGCCACTCCTGTCCCAGGCCCAGGGTCTGCAGGGAAGGGAGGCGCGGGGCTCAGCCGCAGCAGTGCGCGGGCTCCTGGCAGGTTTCCCCCGGGGGGGGGGGGTCCTGGGGGTTCTGCCTCTCCTCACCCGCACTGTGTAGTTGAAGACCTCCGCAGAGCGCAGGAACCGCCGGTAGCCCTCGGTCTCGGCTGTGGCCACGGTGATCACCAGCAGCTTCTCTGTCATCGGCCAGGAATGGGCACTTGGGACCCCCGCCCCAAGCCCCACCCACTCCCTGCAGGCCCCCCTCCCCGCCTCCCCGACCCCGCTCCCTGGGGAGCGCCCCCTCCCCTGCCGCCCAGGCACCGGGGCCCCAGCGGGAATGGGGCAGGACGGACACGCGGGGATTCCGGCTGCGTTCGCGGGCGGGGAGGCCGGACCCCCGCGCGCCCCCGGCCGGGTTCCCACCTGGGTTGAGCGGTTTGCCGCCCCGGGGCCGATCGGAGGCTGAAGCAGCGGGCGAGAGCGGCGGCAGCAGCAGCAGCAAGGAGAGCAGGAGTCGGAGGCCCGGGCCGGAGGAGGCCATGACGGGGAGCGGGGCCCACGCGGGGCTGGGCAGCGCGCCTGGCTTCCAAGTCCTGAGGAAGCCGGGCCGCAGCTACGCCGGGCTGGGGCTCCGCCCTGGAACGAAGACGTAACCCGAGGCTACGGAAACGTCGAGACGCCGGCGCCGCGGACAAGGCGAGGATTGTCCCCGGGCGCGGGCGCGCGTGCCGCGCCGAGCGGGGGCCGGCGGTCGGGTCCGAGCCGGCCTGGCGCGCGGCCCGCTGGACGAGCGAGGACGCTGCTAGCCGGACAGGGGAAGTGACCCCTCGCCGAGGGTCCGGCGAGCCGCGGGGGCGGGTCCTGGGCGGAAGACGGGGAGGGGAGGCGCAGGGGGCTGGCCGAGGAGCCCGCGCCGAGCGACAGCTCCGGGGACTGGGGCTGGAACTCTGGGCAGAAGTCCGCCGGGCCCCCCTCTGACCACCCACTTTATTCCGCAGCTCCGCCCACCCCCGGGGACTGCCTTTGTGTTTGTTGATGGCCTCTTCAGAAGGACCAACGGAAAACAACGGTTCTCGAAAACCCATCAGCATCACCTCTTTAAAGCGACCCATTTCGCGGCCCCTACAAAACTTGCACAAGCACCCCGAAGCCGGAAGTGGTTTTGCCCCTAAAAAACATGGCGGAAAGCTTTCTCGTCTCCAAGGGAACAACACGTAAGGAGCGAAAGTGGCGAGGGAATTGCTCTGCGCACGCGCAGAGGCACACGCCACCGGAAGTGATGTGCCCTAACCGAGGCGGTTGGTTTACTACGCGTGCGCAGTCGGTACTTCCGGCAGCTGTGGGGCATAAATGGTGGAGAAGAAAACTTCGGGTACGTGAGGCTCTGGAGGTCGCCCTTTTTCTACTGCACAGCAAGCCCGGGGTTTTCTCAGTCTCAGGTTCCTCTCCCGGCCCTGGGGTCCTGGCCTTGAGCCTCCCTCCTCCCCCGTTCTCTCACGTTCTGTTGATGTCTGCTCGGAGCCGGGCTTTGGGGATGGGCGACGCGACCTGGCTGTCCCAAAGCTGGCTTTCGGGGAATCCTGCCGCTGCGTTTCGGTAGTGCGGAGGTGTGGGGCGCGGGGACTGAGTGGCCGGGAAGAGGGGGCGTTTGACGGGCGCCCCTGCTGCCCGGGAGCGTGGCCCCCGGGGAGAGGCCGCGGAGAGCCGCCGAGGGTTCGAAGGCAGGGGAGTGGCTGGTTTAGAAAGCCAGTTCTGGCTTCCGCGCAGGGAATGGCCTGGTGGGGTAGGAACCGCACTGCCCCATAAATGCTTCTGGAATCATGGCCTGAGCCTCATTTGTGCGCCTTCCCTGGGCTAAGGGCGTAGCCACGGGTGCCCGGTGGCTGCCGCGGTGGCCGTGCGGGTCTAGTTGGAAGGGCCGCTTCTGTGGCTGCCGATGGGAGAGGTGAGAGTCCGAAGACTGGTCAGATCGGCCCGTGGAGTGCCTGGATTCTGGGCCCTGGCTCCGTCCCCAGTCTCCCAATGCTGGGAGAGACCGGAGTGGAGCTCCCAGGCCTGGCTTTGGCCTGGCGCAGCCCCAGCTGTTGCAGGCGTCTGGGGAGTGAACCGGTGAACGGGCGCTCTCCCCATCTCTCTCCTTGTCTGCCCCTCTAATGATGATAATGATAAAAACAACCGAATTCTTTTTTTTTTTTAGAAACGATTTATTTATTTGAGAGGTAGAGTTGTAGAGAGAGAAGAGAGGTCTTCCATCCGCTGGTTCACTCCCCAAATGGCCACAATGGCCGGAGCTGCGCCGATCCGGAGCCAGGAGCCAGGTGCTTCCTCCGGGTCTCCCACGCAGGTGTAGGGGCCCAAGCCCTTGGGCCATCCTCCACTGCCTTCCCAGGCCACAGCAGAGAGCTGGGTCGGAAGAGGAGCAGCCGGGACATGAATCAGTGCCCAAATGGAATGCCAGTGCCACAGGCAGAGGTTTAACCTTCTACACCACAGCACCGGCCCCCACCAAATTCTTTTTTAAAAAATTATTTATTGAATCTGGCGTGGTGGTTAAGCCTCTGCTTGCATGCCAGCATCTCATCCCAGAGTGCCGGTTGGAGCGCTGGCTGCCCTCTGTCCAGTTCAGCCTCCTGCTAGTGCACCTGGGAAGGCGGCAAAGATGGCCCAAGTCTCTGGGCCCCTGCACCCATGTGGGAGACCTGGATGGAGCTCCTGGCTCCTGGCTTCTGCGAGTGCAGCCATTTGGGGAGTGAACCACAGATGGAAGACCTCTCTCCCTCCCTCTCCCCTTCCCCTCCCTCTCCCCCTCCCTCTCTCTCTTCCCCCATGCTCTGCCTTTCAAATAAATAACTAAATCTAAGGATAAGTAGTACAGGTTTATTTGTTTGAAAGAGACGCCGGTTTACTCCCCAGCTGCAGCCCCTGACGCGCTGAGGCTGGCCCCCAGGGCTGAAGCACCTGCCGTCTCCCCAGCCAGGGCACTCGACGCTTAGGCCTCCTGGGAGATCCCTGTCCCGGCGTGGGCCCTGCTGCCTGGCTGCGCGTTGGACTGTGCTCCTCCATGGGCTGCAGGGGCCAGGGGCAGGTTTTGATGCTGGGCGGTTCTGGGGTTGTGTTCTGAGCAGTTCCTAACATCTGGCCATCAGCTCAGGGCGGGAAGAGCCCCGACGTGGCTGCTGGGAGGGAATGGCGTCGTATACACAGTTAACTCGGGGAGCGCCTGGCTCGTGGTCGGCACCTCGCAGGTCTTAGCTCTGGTGCTCTCAATATTGTTAAGGGACTGGCACTGTGGCTACAAAGCCGCCACAAAGCACACCAAACACCGGAGTAAGAGAAAGGGTTTATTAGGGGAAACCCGACAGACCAGAGGGAGGGGGCGAAGAAGGAGAAGAGGGAGGTGGAGATCGTAGGAGAGAGACAGAGGTCAGGAGAGGGAGAGAGAGAGCCACGTGTTCAGGACCAGGTCCTTTTAAAACTTGGGGGACAGGGAAGTAGGAACAGTGAATCCCACTAGGATGGGGGTACTGGCACCAGTGGTTGGGCCATGTGGCCACCTGGCTTCCAGCAATGGTGGCAGGGGGCTAGAGCCTAGGATGGTGTCGGGACTGTGCCATTTCACTAATAATGGCGTACCGGGTAAAGCCACCGCCTGCAGCGCCAGCATCCGCTATGGGTGCCAGTTCCAGTCCCAGCTGCTCCACTTCTGATCCAGCTCTCTGCTGTGGCCTGGGAAGGCAGTGGAAGATGTCCATGTGCTTGGGCCCTGCACCCGTGTGGGAGACCTGGAAGAAGCTCCTTTGGATCGGCTCAGCTCCAGCCATTGTGGCCATTTGGGGAGTGAACCAGGGATGGAAGACCTCTCTGCCTCTGCCTCTGCCTCTCTGAACTCGACCTTTTAAATAAATAAATATTTAAAAAAATATATGTTTAGCAGGCTCTTGGTAAATATTTAAGGAATAAAAAGGTTGTGTTTGTTTGTTTGTTTGAGATTTATTTATTTGAAAGAGTTATATGGAGAGGGTCTGGTTCATTCCCCTGATGGCTGAAATAGCCAGGCCTGCACTAGGCCAAAGCCAGGAGCCAGGAGCTTCTTCCAGATCTCCCATGTGGGTGCAGGGGCCCAAGCACGTGGGCCATCTTCCACTGCTTTCCCAGGCACATTAGCAGGGAGCTGGATTGGAAGTGGAGCAGCCGGGACTTGAACTGGCGCCCATATAGGATGCTGGCGTCCTAGACAGTGGCTTTGCCTCATACAGCATGTTTCTGGCCATGAGTTATTTTGTGTTACGTTATTGGAACGAGGTAAGAGCTGATATGGTATTAGGTGTTTGTTTGTTTAAAGGCAGGGCAACATAGAGACGGATTTCCCATCTGCTGGTTCACTCCCCAAATGGCCACACTGGGCAGGGCTGGGCCAGGCTGGAGCCAGGGGCTCCATCCGGGTCTCCCATGTGCTTCCTCCCAGAACATGTTAGCAGACAGCTGGATCAGAAGCAGAGTCGCTGGGACTTGAACCAGCATGCTGATAGGGGATGCCAGCATCGCACGCAGTGGCGTAGCCTGCTCTGCCACAGTGGGCCGCGCATTAGGTTAAGGGGAGTCGTCGGGCTGGGTGCTGTGTAGGCGGCTCTGTTCCAGGACAGGGAAGAAGCAGACTTGGGCTGGGGGGGGGGGGGGTGTTTGCGGTTGAGCTGCAGCATCGGCGTGTTGGGGCCTAGGAGAGGCTTCTGGGCAGAGAGAATCAGGTTTGCTAGGTCCCTGTGTCGGAATGGGAGTCTCAGGAAGAGGGAGCCGCTGGGCGAGGGAAGGGGATTGGCCAGAGGTGGCTCAGAGGCTGGGGACAGCCGTGAGGAGGCGTGTGGCTGCAGCGAGGCCAGAGTCGTGTCACCTTCAGCCCAGGGAGGTGGTCGGCACCGGGCGTCCCGGGCTGCAGAGTGCAAGTCAGAGGCGGCCTCTAGGAGTGCCCAGCGGGCTCGGGGTCCTGGGCTGCTGCCACTGAATGGGGGTCGGATTGCTGGGGGTAGAAGAGGGGCAGCTGTGGGGCCGGCGGACCTGGGAAAGGGGAAAGTCCCAGAGGAGGAGGCGGAGGCGGGCTTGAGGGTGCCAGAGGGAGGGGCTGGGCTCAAACTGGAGGCAGGGTCTCGGGTTTAGCAGGGGCCTGGGGGAGACAGGCGTGTCCCCCTGGGAATGGAGGGAGGATGGGTGCCCAGCAGGTCAGTTGGAGGGGGCTGAGCGTGTGCGTGACTGCCTGTGGGCGCCTGTTCCCTTGAGGCAGGAAACGAGTGCTGAGCAGGAAGGCCAAGTGCGTCAGAGTCCCAGGGAGCCTGGACGCCTCGGCACGGTCGTGGGGTTTGGTTATTGCTGCTTTTGTTTGGATTTTTATGTATTTGAAAGAGACAGGTATCTTCCATCCACTGACTCACTCCCCAAATGCCCACAACAGCCAGGGCTGGGCCAGGCGGAGGCCAGGAGCCCAGAACTCATCCATGTTTCCAGTGGGGGTGGCAGGGACCCTCATACTTGAGCCATCACCTGCTGCCTCTGGGTGCAATAGCAGGGAGCCGGGTCAGAAGCTGGGACTCGAGGCCAGGAGCTGCAGCGTGGGCTGCAGGTGCCCCAGGTGGCTTCGTGGCTGCTGCACCCGGCCCTGCCCTGGTCGTGTGGTCCGTGCCAGCAGCAAGAGGCCTCCAGGAAAGGTGTGGTTGGCCGGGCCCAGGGGGTGGGAGCAGCCACGAGGCGCTGAGACTGGCTGGGAGGAAGTGGGATGGCTGGGAGGAGGTGCAGGGGTCAGGAGCTTGGTGACTGACACAGAAGGGGGGCTCCCCAGTCCCGGGCATCGTCCGCCCCGTGCAGAGTCAGGGCCGCCCCAGCTTCTCCCTTCTCCGCACCCCCGTGACTTCTCTCCGCACCCCCGTGACTTCTCACCCCGCCCTGTCTAGTTCGCTCCCAGGACCCCGGGCAGCGGCGGGTGCTGGACCGGGCGGCCCGGCAGCGCCGCATCAGCAGGCAACTCGAGGCCTTGGAGAATGACAACTTCCAGGACGACCCCCACGCCGGGCTCCCGCAGCTGGGCAAGAGGCTGCCTCAGTTTGATGACGATGCCGACACCGGTGAGGGGAGGGGGGGAGCCCGCTGGCCTGGGCGCTCCTCCTGGCTCTGCCGGTGACTGGCCACAGCCATGGCCCCCCTCCCGTGCCTCAGTTTCCTCTCGTGGCTGTGGAATAGAGGGTGTCGAGGAAGAGCCACCATAAAGCTGTAGACTTCGGGGCAGGGAGGCGACAGCGGCCAGGCTGGAGCGGGGTGGGGGGGGCAGGGGGCAGACACAGGCTCCGCGGGAGGGGGGCAGGTGTCCGGCAGCCAATTGCTCTTGACCTCCAGGAAAGAAAAAGAAGAAAACTCGCGGTGATCATTTTAAACTTCGCTTCCGGAAAAACTTCCAGGCCCTGCTGGAGGAGCAGGTGAGGGCAGAGCCCACGGGAAAGGGGGGACCCTGGGGACCAGTGGGTGCATGCTGCATGGGCGGCAGAGGAGACCCGAGCCTGCCCATCTTGTCTCTGCAGAACTTGAGTGTGGCCGAGGGCCCCAACTACCTGACGGCCTGCGCGGGGCCCCCGTCCCGGCCCCAGCGCCCCTTCTGTGCTGTGTGTGGCTTCCCCTCCCCCTACACTTGCGTCAGCTGCGGGGCCCGGTACTGCACCGTGCGCTGTCTGGGCACCCATCAGGAGACCAGGTGAGCCCAGGACCTCGCCCACCGCAGCCCTGCTCCCTTCTGCCCCCTGGGGCATGGTCCCGCCCCCGGGACCCTGCGGCTCCTCCAGGATCCCCTCTCTGTGTACAGGTGTCTGAAGTGGACCGTGTGAGCCAGGAAGGGGCTCCGAACCGCAGCACCAAAGGAGGGGCTCCCCCTGGATGGAGGGACTCTCCGCCCACCTGAGGGGCAGGTCCCGCCCAGCCCTGGGGGTGGGGGCCTGCAGGGCCACTCTAATAAAAGGCCGAGCGCTGTCAGTGTGGTTGTGGCCATCTGTCCTACCCACGCCTCCGCGTCCGCTTCTGCCAGCCCCACCTCTGCTTCCTGGTGTGGTGGTTACTGAGCGTGTTTCTGCAGTCGGACTGGCTGACAGGATGGCACGCAGGCCTGGGCGACGGGTACAGGATGATGGTGCCTGGCAGTGTGAGGGAGCCCCAGTGCCGGGGACCGCGGTGGGTGTGGAGTAGCAGCAGCGCGGGGAACTCACGGCCCTGGGTGCTGCCACTCCTGTGACGTCACAGCTTCCCGCACCCAGGCCTGGCAGGTGAGCTGTCACGTAGGCCCCACCCATGGAATTGCTGTATTGAGGCACGTGGCAAAGCAGGTGCTTCCTAAGCCTTTGTTGAACAAGCGACCTTGATCAAGTAAGGCGCGGCACAGTCAGCCCGGGCGGGCGTGGGACCCATAACGTGCGACAGCCCGGGCCAGGTGGGCCTGTGCTTTGGTTTGTGGAATTCGTGTGCTGGAACCCGAATCCCTGGAGTTGGGCGTTCATGGTGTTTGGAGATGGAACCTTTCATAGGCGGCTGGGCTTAGATGGGGTCGGGAGGTGGGGTCTCCAGACTGGCATTAGTGGCTCGTTAAGAAGGGACCCTGAAGGGTTTGCCTGCAGCACCGGCATCCCATATCCTGGCTCCCTGCTCATGCGCCTGGGAGAGTGGCGGAGGACGGCCCCTGCACCCACCTGGGAGACCTAATGCAGTTCCTGGCTTCAGGCTGGCCCGTCTGTGGAGTGAACCAGCCGATCTGTCACTCTGCCCTTCAGATATTGAAACACACGCCTGAGCCACCAGCTTGCTCTGCCTTGCGAGATGCCTGCACCTCCACGAGTCTTCAGGTCTTCCCCAGCGAGAAGGCCCCCCCCTGAGATGCGGCCCCTTGACCCTGGGCTGCACAAAGCTTTGTTGGTAAATTGCCGGCCCTGTAGTGTTCAGTTACAGCAAGGGAACGTGGACCAAAGCTGCGGTGATGGCCGTGCGCCTCCGCGCCGCAGTAGGGACACTTGCTGTAGGTTGGGTCCCTGAGCCGCCACGGAGGAAATCCACTCTCCTGAAGCCGCCATGCTTCCCAGACAGGACACTGCAGGTGCCCTCTTGGCAGGCCTGGGCGAGCCAAGCCTTCCCGCCCCCCTCCCAGGCCCCCGGCGTGGGGATGGGGATGCCTGCCCGGCACTGGTCACCCTCGGCCTCCCACGTGCCTGCCCGCGCTCCCGCCCCCAGCACCCGTGTGCAAGGCAGAATCTCGGGCTCTGGATGCTGTTAGCAGTGATGGTGGTGGACGCCCAGGGCCGCTGCTGGCTGCCCCAAGACAAGCAGCTGTTGCCATCCTGCGCGCTGGGAGTTCTCTGAGGGCAGGGCCTTGTCGTGGGTGCGCTGGGGGAGTGCTGTGCCCACGGCCCCGGTAGCCCGTGGGTGACCATGCGGGATGCCCCAGGAGCCGACGCTCAGCCCCAGGAGCAGGCTAAGGCACACACACAGCTGCCCGATCGTGAGACTGGGCTCCGCTTAATTTTCCTGAGAGGGGAAGGGCTCGGAAGAGGCAGGTGGGGGTTGGTGAGGGAGTCCAGTGGGAAGCCGCTGGGCGCTGTCAGTTGTTTGTGACTTGGTAAGGTGCCTGTCCCGTCTCGGAGACGGCGTGTGAAAAGTTGGTGGTGGACTGTGCCTGGGTCTGAGCTGCCCTGCGGCTCCTTCCTCCTCGGCTCAGCTTGCACGGCCCCCGAGGGAGCTCAGGCAGTGGCCATGTGCTGCGTGGAGCCTGGCTGCAGGGGCCTGGACGTGAACGTGTGAGAGACCTTGTGCACCGTGGTCTGCGGGAGGCCAGGTCTGTGCAGAGAACAGGAAGACGTAGGGGCCAGAAGGCAGGCAGGAGGGCGTGTCCGGCTGGGCGTTTTGTCCTCAGCACCCTCCGGGTGAGGGGTGTGGACTGGGCGGTGAGAAGCCGCCAGTGGGGAAGGGAGGGGGTAGGTGGGTGTGCAAATGTCCCAAGAGGGAGAATCCAGGGGCTCAGTGACTAGTGGAGGGGTGGGGTCGCAGGGCAGAGGGGGCAGTCAGAGGTGGTTGAGGTCATCTGTGTGCACGCAGGGGTCAGCAGGGCTGGGAGAGGAGTAACAGGTGAATCTGATGTGCCTGGCGCAAACGCTGGACAAGGCGGGGTGTGGTCAGACCAGGGCCCCCTAGTGGCTGCTCCCTGTCAACACTGAGGATGCCCGCTGGGACGGGGCCCAGGACCCCTCTCCTCCCACTGGGTGCCAGGCTGCTGTCTGGGGTCCATGCTTTTCTGTCTGAAGTGGGCCCAGCTGTGCCAAGCCTGCCCACAGCCCAGCACCCTGTCTGGGCTCCCTGGGCAGTGCATACGCCAGTGTGGACACTTCCGGGGCCTTTGCTAGAAGCTACTGAGCCAGGGTAATTTTTTTTTGTTTTGTTTTGTTTGTTTGTTTTTTGCCAGGCAGAGTTAGAGAGAGAGAGAAAGGTCTTCCTTCCATTGGTTCACCTCCCAAATGGCCACTACAGCTGGCGTGCTGCGCTGATCCGAAGCCAGGAGCCAGGTGCTTCCTCCTGGTCTCCCATGGGGTGCAGGGCCCAAGGACCTGGGCCATCCTCCACTGCACTCCCGGGCCACAGCAGAGGGCTGGACTGGAAGAGGAGCAACCGGGACAGAATCCAGCGCCCCAACTGGGACTAGAACCTGGGGTGCCGGCATCGCAGGCGGAGGATTAGCCTAGTGAGCCACAGCGCCGGCCAGCCCGGGTATTTTAACACCGAATCCCAAAGGGCATGGCGGCTTCTGATAGCCAGATGGGCTGGGGTGGACACTGCTCTGGGCCAGGTGTCTCCTGGAGTCACCATGAGATCGGAGTGAGAGGGACGGGAGTGACTTGGGTCCCTCTGCACTCCCAGCTTCCTGGAGCGGGGGCCTCCCCTCTCTGCTCCTGCGTGAATGAGGAGTGATGGGATGCCACTTGCCCAGATTGGCAGAGGACAGTGTGGAGTCCACTCAGCCCCCAGCAGTCACAGTATACATTTATTTATGCATGAATTTACACAATCCACCAGCTTTTGGGGGTACGTCTCTCCCCTTGGGAGACTGCTGCAGCTTCTGCAGGGGTCCTTGGCCTGGGTGGAGCTCCAGGTTGGGAGGTGTGGCTGGGGCGGGGCTCTGGCTGGGGAGGTGGGGACTGGGGCGTGGCTTCTGGACACTGAGTTGGGTTACAGGGAGGATGGACCCCAGCCAGGAGCCCTGGGGGCCAGGGGCCCCTCTTTGCTAGGGCAGGTGGGGAGGGAAACGGCTGTGCAGGCTGGCGCTCCTACACGTAAGCATTCTTGCCATATTTGCCAAAGCTGCTATCGCCTTCATCCGAGGCAGCGGGGGGCATCACGGCGGTGGACGCCTTGTAGGGAAGCTGGGCCCTGTCGGAGAGGGGGCCCGCAGCTCAGTGGGGGCTGAGGCCCTCGCTCCCCCCACCCTGCATCCCTCCCCCTGCCCCCTCACCTGGTGGTGGGGTCCTCTCTAGGCTGGCAGCAGCAGTTGGAGCAGAGGCAGATGCCGCCCAGGATGGACAGCAGGGAGGCGCTCCAGCCCAGGTAGAGGGCGGGGCCCAGCTCGTACCTGGGTAGGGACGCGGGCTTGTGCGCCTTCTGAGGGACAAGGCCGCGTCCTCTCCCCCCAGGGCGGGCCCCCGCACTCACTTGGTCCCGGCATACAAGGGGTTGAAGAAATCCTGGGTGATGTTGGCCGCGTACCAGGAAATGGCCACCATGCCGCAGAGCCCTGGGGGCAGGGGTGGGCCGGAGTGAGGGGTGTGGGGGACGGACATCCCCTGGCACTCGCCCCGTGGCGCTCGCCTGCAATCTGCCACATCCCAGCCCGACCTGTCCCTGGAGGCCCAGCTGTCCCGAGAGCAAAGCTTCCCTCGCGGAGGCCACCTGGCCTTCCCCAGCCTAGGTTCAGTTCTGGAAGCTGCTCAACGCCCAACACCCAGCAGGCTTCCTGGGAGGGGACGTGCAGAGATGCACACGTGGCATGGCCCTGGGCGCCCTGTGCGGACCCGTGCCTGCGCAGTCTCTCCCACGCCTGGCTCACAGAGGGAGCTGGAGCAACACCGCTGACGGGTGGCCCAGAGATCTGGGGAGTAAGGATGAGGACAGGGTGTGCAGGGAGAGAGGGGAGGCGAGCATCAAGAACAGCGCCGGGGTCTGCAGCCGAGGTCCGCCACCCCGGCCCCGTTACCAGCCAGCATGTGCAGGGCGCCCGCCGTGGCTGCCAGCTTGGCTTTCCTGGAGGGCTCGGTGCCTCCGACTTTGGTGCAGCGCAGCCCCACCATGCCCAGGAAGAGGCCCAGGAAGCCCAGGAGGATGGCGGTGATCATGAGGGCGCGGCAGGCCTGGACGTATCCTGCAGAGGGGGACACGGCCGTCAGCTCCTGCCCTGCGCCCCTCACAGCAGGCTCAGGGGTCCTGCCTGCCTCCCCGCCACGCCCGGGCGCACCTGGCGTACCCCATCACAGGGCTTCTCCCACTGACACCAAGCGAGAGCAGGCGGCTCAGCAACACCCTAGACCCCTGCCCGAAGCGCCGTCACCTGGCACCTGCCGCTGTTCTGAGTCGCAGAGGCAGCCCCGGCCCACCTAGCGAGTGGCACAGCGCCGGCATCTTGACCTGACTTGCTGCCTATAGTGGCCGGTAGGGGGCAGCAGTGGCCGGAGGCGGTTTCTGATGGGGAAGGTGGGATACTTGGGCCTCACCCAGTCCTGCAGTGCCTCAGTTTCCCCTTTCTCAGCGCTGAGGGGAGGTCCTGGCCTCCACAGGACCTTGCACCCCCTTCCTGGGTGGGGCAGTCACGGTGCTGAAGGGGAACGGCTGGGTCCCTGCCAGGAAGGTGAAGTGGCCGAGTTGGGGGGCAGGGAGGAGGGCCAAAGTTCTCTGGGAGCGCGATCTGACTTGCAGCCACGCCCGCCCGAGCCAGACCCTGAGTGCTCAGGGAGTGCTGGTGGTCATGGGAGAGGCAGGAAGGGGCTCGGCCGGGTACTGAGGACTGCGTGGTGCGGGAGACCTGGGCCACAGTCTGCGTTCCCACACCTCCCAGTGGCCCTGGGGCTCTGGGCAGGCTGTGAACTTGCGGAGGCTCCCCAGCTCCTGTAAAGTGAGGTCAATACCCCCAGCCCAGCCCAGGCAACAGGCTCCCTGAGGACACGGTGCCGCAGGCAGTACCGAGCCCAGGCCTGGAGGCCACACACTGCCTGGCCCACCCCCGTCACGCCCACTCCGGTCCTCCCACGGGCCAAGGGCAGCAGGGCTGATGAGGGCCCTCTTCCCTCGGGTGGGCAGGCAAGGCGGGGATGGCCCGGGCCCAGCTGGCCGCCTCCCCTGGCCCTTCTAGCCACTCAGCACTGCGGGCAATGAATGAAAGCTTCCTGCAGGGGATTGTGGGAATGGGGGGGTGTCTGAGAGACCCCACACCCCCCACTGCTCAGAGCAGCTGGACAATCATGGGCCCAGCTGCGTGACCCCTCTGGGCCACACCTGCGAGGAGCTGCCTGGGGGAGCGTGGGGACCATCTCCGCAGTGGGCTCCTGGCCCCCCAGGCAGAGGGGAGACCCTGGCCTGCAGAGTGAGCAGGAAGTGGGAGGATGCTGTGGCCGGGGGTAGGGCAGGTGGAGGGGGCAACCACTGCAGGCTGCAGCCGCTGAGAACCCCACAGACTGCACCTGAGGACCCCAAATGTACGGGCAGAGTGCACACCCCAGCTCCCAGTGAGCTCATGCCGGCACTGGGACCAGGCCTCGACACGGACCCCACGTTCCACGCACACAAGCCTCACGACCACCCTGGGGCCAGGCCTGCGGCTGTCCCACCTCAGAGAGGCTAGGACAAAGGCAGGGCCACGCACCCACTCAGACCGGGGAGCAGGGGCTGTGCGTGGCGAGGCTACGTCCCCAGCACTCCTGCCTGCAGCTGCCTTGTTCCCGCCGCTGGAGCCCAGCCTCCTGTATCCTTGTGGTACCCAAGGCCACATCCAAGGCAGCAGCCTTGCCCTCGCCCCCAGCCCCCCCCCCCCAGCCCATACCAGACAGGGCCAGCATGGACGGGAACTCCCAGCAGTTGGAGACTCCCAGGGAGTCGGTGGCGCAGCTGTACCAGAGGTTCTCGTAGATGGTGTTGGTGGTGATGACGTTGCCGTGCACCGTGGACACTCGCCAGTAGCTGTTGGGCAGGGTCACCCCGAGCATCAGCAGCCCCAGGGCCGCCATGAAGAAGCCAAATGTCTCCACCGCCACCGACATGGCACACGCAGGGCCCCGGGGGGCTTAGGGCCCCAGAGAGGCGGGCTGTCGTTCAGAGCTGGGGGGTGAGGCAGGCTGGAAAGGGAGGGGAGGGCCGGAGTCCAGCTGCCGCCTCTGCCGCCGCCGCCGCCTCCTCCTGGGTTGCAGGTCCGACCCAGGTTTCGGTGGCCCTGCCCCGCTCCGGCCTCTGCTTCCTGGCAGCTCCGAGGAATGAGGCGAGCCCGCAGCAGCTGTGGCCACAGAGATGGAGGGAATAAACGAAACAGGCCAAAAGTCCACCCCCTCCCCCAGCCGCCGGCTGCCCTGGGCTCCCCGCCCCGTGGTGGGGGGAGCGGACTTACCCAGGAGTGACGAACGAACGGATACGGGATACGACCAAGGAGGGGCCCCCACGGGAGGCTCTGGGAGCCGAGGGGAAGCGGCCGCGTCTGACTCAGCTCTCCGCGGGGGCCGGAGCAAGGAGAGAAAAGGTGGACGTGGGAGACCAGCAGGCCCACTGTGAGCTCCCGGGGGCAGAGCCACTGCCCAGGCACGGTGCGGACAACCTGGACGCTCAGGGTCCTCAGGGTGGGGACGCTGGAGCGGCCAGGGAGGGCGGAGGTCGACCAGGGGCCAGGCGGCTGGGCAGAGAGCAGCGGCTCTGCTGGCCCATCCACCCGGGCCCCAGTGGGCTCTGGCGCTGAGCAGTGACTCGGGCCTGACCGTGAGCCCGGGGCTGTTTCCGCTTCTGCAGACAGCCGGACACAAACGGGGACCCTAGGGCAAACCTGTTGGGCTGGGCCCCTCCGAGCCTAGGGACCACCCCAGTGCCGTGCCACAGGGCTGGGGCGAGGCTACCAGGGAGTCACTCTCCTCCCAACTTCTTGAACCTGAATTTCCCCCTCACTTCTCTGACCTTTGACACTCGGCATTGCACTTGATCCCACTGCCAAGTGGCCCCAAGCCGGGAGATCACAGGCCTGGAGCATGACCCTGTGACTAATCTAACCAATCGTTATTAGGAACTGTCACCGGCTCTGCCGGATAATTATGATGGATCAGGAACCGCTGGTCCCCAGCTCGAACCAGGCTGCGCACCTGTCCCAGCGAGGGCTCTCAGTGCCTGCACCAAGGCCAAAGCCGGGACAGCTCTGGCCTCATTCTGGTGAGTGGCGCTGGGGCTCCATCCACCCAGTGGACGTGACTGGGCCGCCCCCCCCCCCCCCCCCCCGTGCCCCACTGGCTGGGGCTGTGGAACGAGCGGTATGCAGCCAGGCGGAGCAGGCCCACGGGGAGCCTGGCACGAGAGGGCGTGGGGTGAGGCCAGGCCCTGCATTCCCGTCCGCCCCCCACCCCCACCCCCAGACCGTGCCTCCTCCAGGCCCAAGGCCAGCGCTTCCTCCCCTGCCAGTGGCCTCTGGCCCTAGGGAGACTGAGGCCGGAGGAAGGGGAGGGTGCGGGAAGACAAAGGGAGGGAAGGATGGGGGTTGGGGAGGAAGCCGAGTGGGGGCCCCCCCGGAGCGGAAAACTACGCGGGCCGAGAGGCAGCACAGTGGGTCAGAGGAGACAGACGGAGACGCGCACCCCAGCCTGCACCTGCGCACCTGCCCTCTGCTGCCCCCTACAGGTCTGTGCGCGCGCTGCGTCCCCGGGAGAGCAGGGGCTGCCTGGGGCGGGGGGAGGGGGATGGTCACAGGAAGCCCACACTGGCCTGGGGGCACCGGGCAGACCACAGGCCCCCTCACCCTCTGCACCAGGTGGCTCCCGCCCGCCCCCCCAACTCACGACACGAAGGCTCCCGGCCGCGGCCCAATTTTATTCACACTCGTCCCAGAGCACAAGATCTGGGGCTAAGGACAGGTCCCCGGGCAGCGGAGGGTGAAGGCCATGGGGAGGAGTGACAGGTGTGGGGGAGAAGAGGCAGGGGACGGCGGGGCTAGGGCCCTCTCTGCGGGTCCTCGCGGCTCCGGGACGCCTGGGCAGAGCGGGCAATGCAGTCTCGGTCAGGATTTGGACTTGGACACAGCCAGTCCGATGAGTCCGGCCAGCCCCGCCACGCCCAAGGCCATTCCTCCGACGATGGCCATGCCCACCAGGCCGTCTGGGGGAGGAAAGGGCGCCGTCAGGGCCTCCGCCCGCCGCCCCCCTCGCCGGGAGCGGGCACGGGCGGGCGAGCCAGCTTTCACCTTTCTTCATGGCCTTGTCGATGAGCCGCTCCAGCTCCTTGGCCTGGTTGTTCTGGGGCTCCGTGTGCAGCAGCCCCCGCACGTACTTCAGGGCCCTGTCGTACTCCTGCACGCGGGAAGGTCGGGGGGCGTGCCCGCCTCAGCCCCGCGCCCTCCCCCTGCGGCCCCACCCGCAGCCGCAGCCGGCGGACTAGAGTCCACAAACAGCCTCGCCTGCTGGGGGCGATAAGCGGAGATAACCAGGCCTCCCAGGCCTGACCCCGCGTAACCCCGCCCCGCCTACCTTGAGCCGGTAGTTGCCCACCGCCAGGTAGAACACGTAGTCCCGCTGCTCGTCCTGGGTGCCTTTGAGCAGCAGCTCTGCGGAGGGGAGGGGGAGCTGCTGCTCTGGGCTGGCCCCGGCCCCCGCCCCCGCCCCCGCCGCAGCCACAGCGGGAGCCCGCGACAGCCGCCCCGTGTCAATGCACGTGACCCGACAGGACACGGGAGGGGCCAAACGGTTATGGCCCCATCGCTGTTGCAAAACACGCTGTTCCCCCCCATTCAGAACACCTGCTCCAAACTCACTACTTCCGGGGCGGGGTGGGGGTGGGGGTTGCGCTAGGTTGGTCGCTCAGCAGGTGTCCTGGGTCTGCACTGTGCCCTCAGCCAGTTCTAGGGCTGCGCCCCGCTGAGGCTAACCCCGTGCAGGAGAAGAAGCGTCCGCACCAAGAGGGGCGCTCGGCGAGGGGCACCGGCAGCCTTGGCCAGGACGCCCACCGCTGCCTCGTACACGGTCAGGGACCCAGAGAAAGGGGGCGCGGGGCAACGGGCCGCCCAGCTCTGCGCCTCTGCCGCGGGCCCACCTACACCAAGGGGCAGGGGGCTGAGGAAGCAGCTCGGAGAGGGGCCTGGGCACCAGCTGGGGCGCAGCGGTGATGCGGGAGAGGACCTGGCCCGAGCACGCGCCCTGGTGGGGGGAGGCACACTCCAGGACCCTCACGGACACCAGTCTCTGTGGATGCTCAGGCCCCTTAGATTCTCGCGTGTAACCAACACGCACGGCCCCGCGCTAGGAGTACCCCCCGCTGTGTAGACAGGCCACAGCCACGTGTAGGGAGCCGTGCTACGGGGGGGTCTACACGCTCAGTAGGCCTGCGCAAGCATAACCGCAGCGCCCCGGGCACTGCTGGGTCCACGCGGAGGGACCCCAGGGCCAGTGACGGCGGGGGCGGGGGCGGGGCGCGCTCACCCTCCAGCAGGGTGATGCCTTTGCGGATGTCATCGTTGTACTTGCTCCGCACCAGGCACCACGCGTACTCAAACTGTGTGCTCTTGGACACCGAGCCTGCCGCCTTCTCGGACTGAAACTTCTTCTCAAATTTCTGCCACGGGACACGCGAGGGGACCATTGGGGAGGTGAGGAGTGTCAGTCACGTCGCATCCGGAGCTGAGGTCCCATCCCCGGCTCTGCTTCTCTAGGCCTCCACCCCTCCCCGCCGCCCTCGGGCCTTGGTACCCGGCACGCCCGGCGCCCCCCTCGCCCCTACCCGGCCTCTCGGACCCGGGATGCAGGCGAGCTCCCCGGACCCACCCCGGGGCTCACACCCCCCTGCGGCGCCAAGCGGAGATGCCACCTGCCGGCGGCTCCAGGCACCGCTCCCGGAGCAGCTGACCGCGGCGGCAGTGCAGTAAACAAGCCGTCAGCAGCCCCCGCGTCTTCGGCGTCGGCGGCTGGCCCGCCTGCTCCGCCCTGCCGGCTCTGCACCTTATCTCGTCTAACTTCCGGGGCCACAAAGGCCAAGGCCTGGCGTGCAGCGCATCGTGCTGGACCCAGTGACGTGTGACGCGCTATGGCTGTCGCCGTGCTCCCCCACAACCGACGGGACGCCCTGACCTCCCAAATTACGCGGCAACCCGCACCTGACAGCCTTTTTGGGGTTAGACGCCAAGTCTTCGTTCGGAGGTGTGGTGGCCGAAGAGACTACAATTCCCACTAGCCTCTGCGGCAAAGAGCTCCCTTGAGGTAGGAGCCGGACGGCGCAAGGCCTGCCGGGAGCTGTAGTTCGGCTTCCCCTAGCAAAGTTGAAGCTGGGAGGAGGGTTTGGCCCCTACACGACTCTCCTCAGGACCCGTCCCCGACTCGCCCCGCGCCCTCCCTCGGGGCCAGGCCTCACCTTCAGATCCTCCACAGACACCAGCTCGTTCAGCACGGCCTCCATGGCCGCCGCCCCCGCTCTCCTCACAGTGGACTCTACTGTGCTACAGTCTCCATGGCCCAGCGGCAGGGGCGGAGCAGCACTTCCGGCGCTCGGCGGATGCGGCCCCCGGGCCGGACCCGCGACGCCCCGCCCCTCCTTCGCCAGGCAGCCTGCCGGAAGGGGGCGCTCGCGCGGACCCCGCACCCCGCACCCTGCAGAGCCCGGGCTGAGCTTTCGCCTGTGCCCTCTCCCGCGGACGTCGCCCCCGGGCCAAAACTAGAAAGGGAAGGGTGGGAGACCTGGCAGGGGTCTGTCGGCCACCAGGGACGGCCGAGGCTGCGTGGCTTCCCTGCCTGCCACAGCCGCAGCCAGGACCAGGGTCCCAGGGCCGGACAGCTGCACCTGTGAGCTGTGCCCCCGAGGGACGCTGTTAGCGGGGGCCTCCTTCCCGGCAAGAGGGTGCGACTTCCAAGTGGTACTTGGACCAACCGTTTCCTGGGCGTCCCCGAGTGGCCACCTGGGGCCGGGGGAGGCTGAGCTCCCGTGCGCGCTGGAGTGGAAGTTCCAGGAGGGCGGACGCTGCCTCGTTCGTCCAGCGCGCAGCGCCCAGCGCCCAGCAAGGTAAATATTTGTGCACACGCGCGGCATCAGGCAGATGCAGCTGATACCAGGGGGACGCCCTTCCGGTCTGCAAGCCCGCTGCTCTGTAGCTCTAACGGTCTTGTGAGTCACCCCTCCCTGTTTGGCCTTGATAGTTCAGTAGGGAACCGTGAAACTCAGGGAGAGAAATGCGTGCCGTTCAGATGTAGAGGCTGGGCCCTGCGCACAGAGCTCCCTCCAAGGGAACCCCGGTGGGCAGGGATGGCTTCAGGATGGGGTCTGTTTGACCTGAGACTGGGGTCGTGGCAGCCCCCGACTGACAGCCCGGCAGTCAGCATACAGGGGGCACATACTGGGCCCCGGGACAGGCACGCGGGCTGGGAGCAGGCTTGCGGGCCCAGCGCTGTCCGTGGTGGGAGCCGATGCCAACTCCAACGGACAGGGTCGGAGCTGCCCTTGGTGTCGGCAGAGAACCGCGTGGTGTGGCCGTGACCCACACCCCTGGCGTCAGCCGTGTTGTGCATGTGGGGAAATCAGACGGGACGGGGCTGTCGTTGGGGTGACGCCGGGGCCCAGTTCTGACCCTGCGGCAACGAGCCATGCAGGCCAGGGGCGCCAGCACGTGCAGGAGCCTCGAGGAGGGGGCACCAGGCGGACGCGGGGCTCAGCCTGAGTGACGGAGAGCGAGGCGGCAGGATGGCCGCGGGCCGATCGCGCAGGGCCTCCCAGGCTAGCCAGGCGCTGGATCTGACTTTCTGTGCGATGGGAGAGCAGCGATTCCTTGTAAAAGGATCGCATTGGCCGCTTTTGGAGAGAAGACCACGGGGGCAGCACGAAAGCTGGGCGCCAGCAAAAGGCTGCTACTGTGGCCCAGACACGGACTGGCAGCGGGGCTGGGGGTGCGAGAGCCGAGACCTCAGCCCCAAGGCTCCCCCGGGAAGGCCTGCTGGGCACTCCTGACCAGCTCAGCACCCCGTTCTCTGGCTTGGGTGTGGCAAGAACCCCCCCCTCCACCCGCCATTCCGCTCTTGTTCCACAAACATGTGGCCAAAACCCTCACCTGGGAAGCTGCTATCCTTAGCTCCCTCTGCCCCATGAGAAAAGACAGAGGCTGGACCAGGCTGAGCAGCCCGGCCCACCTCGCAGGGGCAGGCCTTCACGCCCAAGTGCCGCCCCCCACCGGCCTCGGCCGCCTCCTAGAGAGGGGCAGCCGGGCCACGACCCGTGGAGGACCAGGAGGAAAGTCCGACCCATTAGGTCCCAGCGAAATCCATCTTACCTTCCTTCAGCAGCAGGTGGCCTAGGGACAATTCAAGTTAACTAAAAACCCAAACAGGCCGGCGCCGCGGCTCACTAGGCTAATCCTCCGCCTTGCAGCGCCGGCACACCGGGTTCTAGTCCCAGTCAGAGCGCTGGATTCTGTCCCGGTTGCCCCTCTTCCAGGCCAGCTCTCTGCTGTGGCCCGGGAGGGCAGTGGAGGATGGCCCAAGTGCTTGGGCCCGGCACCCCATGGGAGACCAGGAGAAGCACCTGGCTCCTGGCTTCGGATCAGCGCGGGGCGCCGGCCGCAGTGCGCCGGCCGCGGCGGCCATCGGAGGGTGAACCAACGGCAAAAGGAAGACCTTTCTCTCTGTCTCTCTCTCTCACTGTCCACTCTGCCTGTCAAAAACAAAAACAAAAAAACCCCAAACAGGCACTGGTTTAGTTGTCTGAAAGTCAGGGCTGTGGAGAGATCTCCCACCTGCCGATTCACCGCAGACAGCCAGGGCTGGGCTGGGTTGAAGCCAGGAACCAGGAGCCTCATCTGGGTACTGGGCTATCCTCCACTGCTTTTCCCAGGCCACCAGCAGGGAGCCAGGGCAGCCAGACACAAACCAGTGCTGGTGTTGCAGGCGGCTGCTTTACCCAGGAACCCCTTTTCCAAAAGTACAACACTGAGGCCGGTGCTGTGGCGTAGCTGGGCTAAACCTCGCCTGTGACACCAGCATCCTTATGAGCACAGTTCAACTTCCAGCTCCCTGCCAAGGTGCCTGGGAGTGCAGTGGAAGATGGCCCAGATGCTTGGGCCCCTGCACCCGCATGGGAGACCAGGAGGAAGCTCCTGGCTCCTGGCTTCAGACTGGCACAGCTCCGGCTGTTGCAGCCATGTGGGGAGTGAACCAACGGATGGACGACCTCTCTCTCTTTCAAATAAATAAATAAAATCTTTAAAAAGTAAAAAGTTTATTTTAATGCAAAAAAAATTTTTGAAACCCAAACCCATGCAGTTTTGTTTGGTGACACTCATTTTCCATGAGGTCTGAAGACCCCGTGGGTCTTAGGGGAGTTTACTAGGTTGACGTGGTCCTGCGGCGAATCCCACAGGGCTCCCAGCCCTGGACTGGAAGCCACAGGAGGGCAGGGCCTGCATCCCTTTGGTGCCTCGGACGCCCCCCAGTGGCCGGCTCGTGCTTAGCGCCAGCGGACACTGGATTTGCAACTGTGTACACGCACTGCTGGTGTCACTGTGGCAAGGAGGCAACACACAGCAACCATGCAATATTGTGTGGGCAAGTCCTCGCCTCCGAAACGACGACGGAAGGGGGAGAAAGAAGAGGGAGACAGCGACACACTCGTTCCTGGTTTCCTGTGCAGGTGAACGCACGACTCAAACGCCACGGCGTGGTTTTATTAAGTGATGACGCGCAGCTGTGAGGTCGCAGGCACACGGACTCCGGGTAACTCTCAGAACCACAGAAGACCAGGTATCGCTCAGATCCTGTCCTGCGTGGGCACCACGGGCCCGCGCCGGCATCTGCCGCAGGAGTCCGGTCCCCTCCCCCCGAGAACGCCAGCAGGTGGACCAGCCCCCGGGCCCCCACCCCTGCTCCCCGCACTCGTGCCCTGCAGCCTTGGGCCGGGGGTCAGCCCAGGAGAAGGGACCCCGCCACGCACCTGCGGACCGGGATTCCGGTTTTCAGTAACCTGTGTGTCCACTCGGCCGCTGTCCGTCCAGGCGCGCCCACCCACCCAGCACCTACCGAGGACCTGCCTGACGCCACGCCCCCGCCCCCCGCGTCCCAGCACGAGCGCGCGGCTCAGCACGTGCCTCTCTCCCCGCGCAGCTCTCCGGCCCACCCAGCGGACACCGCACGCACACGTCCCTGCGACGGCCACCTGCCTGGGTGGGCCCGCCGCTGCCGCCCGGCACGCCACCGCCGCTCACGCCTGCTCCCGGGCCGGAGTACCGCAGCGGCCCCCCAGTCCCACGCTCCTCCCATGCCTCGCTCACCTTCCCGCCAGACGGCAGGTGCCCCGGAGGCGTCCGACAGGTGAACGCCGGAGTAACCACAGCCCGGACGCCCGCACTTCCGGCACGGAGGCGGGGAAGATGGCGGCGGCCTCCCGGGGGCTGCTCTAGCAGGAGGGCTCGGTGGTCTGGAGGACCCGGAGCGCCGCGAGGAGCCCGCGTCTGCGCAGTAACCGCCCTCAGCGGGCGGGGCGGGGCGGGGCGGGACTCGGGCCCCGCCCCCGACTTGGGGCGTGGCTTCTGCGCTGCCTGCAGCGAGCCGAAGCGTGCGACGGCTTCGTTGGATTTCCTGACTCCGAGAAACGGGGACCCCCACCCCCAGTGCGTAGTGATCGGTTTGTTCACAGGCTTGTTGCCCGAGACAAAGACCCTGCGCGAGCATGCCTCTCCGGCCGCCGCCGCCTCACCCTGGGTCTCCGCTGCAGCTGGTCACCCCGAGGGCCCCCAGTTCGCACGCGCGAGCCCGGCACCGGGGCCGCCCGTCGGGGAGGTCGAACGGTCCCCGAGCGCCTTGCTTCCCGCTCCTCAGAGGGCAGCCCCGCTACTGCACCCGCCCCGGGCGCCGTCAAGCGGTTCCGGGAAGAGGCAGTCCCGAAGATGCGCGTGGCCAGCACACTCACTCCCGGCTTCCAAGACCCTCTTCATCGACTTGGGGCCGGTGCTGTGGCGTAGCGGGTAAAGCCGCCGCCTGCAGTGCCAGCATCGAATATGGGCGCCGGTTCGAGACCCGGCTGCTCCACTTCTGATCCAGCTCTCTGCTGTGGCCTGGGAAAGCAGTGGAGGATGGCCCAAGTGCTTGGGCCCCTGCACCCCATGGGAGACCTGGAAGAAGCTCCTGGCTCCTGGCTTCAGATTGGCACAGCTCTGGCCACTGCAGCCATCTGGGGAGTGAACCAGCGGATGGAAGACCTCTCTCTCTTTCTCTCTCTCTCTGCCTCTCCTCTCTCTCTGTAACTCTTTTTTTTTTTTCAAATAAAATAAATAAATATTTTATTAAAAATCAAAGCATTAGGAGCAGGCACGGAAGAGTGTACATTTCTAAAAAGATTATTTATTTGAAAGAGTTACAGAGAGAGACAGAGAGGCTCTCATCCGCTGGTCCATTCCCCAGACGGCTACACTGGGACAGCCGGAAGCCAGGAGCCAGGAGCTTCATCCAGGTGGCCCACGTGGGTGCAGGGGCCCAGATGCTTCTGCTGTCTTCTGCTGTTTTCCCCTGGCCATTAGCAGGGAGCTGAATCCAGAAGTGGAGCAGCCGGGACACCAACCAGCATAGGATGCCGGCATTGCCACAGCGCAATTTTCCGCAAATTTCCGACTGTCACAATAAGTGCATTTCACATGGGGAAAGTGCTGCAGAGACCCATCCGGGTAACAGCCAGGGGCGGGGGGGGGGGGGGTTATGATAAGTCGGTAGACCCTGGTGTCCACTTTTTTTTTTTTATTTTGACAGAGTGGACAGTGAGAGACAGAGAGAAAGGTCTTCCTTTGCCGTTGGTTCACCCTCCAATGGCCGCCACGGCCGGCGCACCGCGCTGATCCGATGGCAGGAGCCAGGAGCCAGGTGCTTCTCCTGGTCTCCCATGGGGTGCAGGGCCCAAGCACCTGGGCCATCCTCCACTGCACTCCCTGGCCACAGCAGAGGGCTGGACTGGAAGAGGGGCAACTGGTACAGAACCCGGTGCCCCTACCGGGACTAGAACCTGGTGTGCCGGCGCCGCAAGGCAGAGGATTAGCCTATTGAGCCATGGCGCCGGCCCCACTTTTACAATACCTAGGTCTTTGCTTTCCTGCTGTGCTGCTGCCTGGAGCCACGACTTAGTTTTGCGTCGTCTCTGGCCTAGAATGAGTTTATCTGTGGGGGAAGCGTAACATGCTGTGCAGGAGGAGTCTCAGGAGCACAGCACGGCGGAGCTGTGGGGGTGGGGCTGACCTCGCCTGCGCCTTCCGCCTGTGCAGGGCTCAGCAGCTCGGCTCTCCAGCACTGTCGCTCACACGCGTTTATTTCCTTTCAGTTGAACCAGCTTTTCTTTTTCCTTTAGTTTTTTTTTTTTTTTAAGATTTATTTATTTATTTGAAAGAGTTAATACAGAGATGCAGAGAGAGAGAGAGAGAGAGAAGAGAGGCAGAGAGAGAGAGAGAGAGAGAGAGAGAGAGGTCTTCCAACCACTGGTTCAATCCCCAGGTGGCCGCAACAGCTGGAGCTGCACCGATCCGAAGCCAGGTGTCAGGAGCTTCCTCCGGGTCTCCCATGCAGGTGCAGGGGCCCAAGCACTTGGGCCATCCTCCACTGCTTTCCCAGGGCACAGCAGAGAGCTAGATCAGAAGTGGAGCAGCCGGGACTGGAACCGGTGCCCAGACGGGATGCTGGCGCTGCAGGTGGCAGTTTAGCCCGCTAGGTCACAGCGCCAGCCCTTTCCTTTAGTTTTCAGTATACAAATCCTGTGTACAAACACATTGTTGCCTGATTCCTGGCCGGGGGCTAGGGCACTGGTGACACCAGCATCTCCCTGAGACATCCTTCTGTGTGACCTGCGCTTTTCCCTGAGCCCCCTGTTTCTCGCAGTGTTTCCGCTTGGTCAGCCTTCCTCCCGGAAGCTCCCCCCTTAACCAAACACCACTGAAAGATGGGGAGGGCCCTTTAAGAGGGAGACTGGAGGGGCCAACACTGTGGTGCAGAAAGTTAATCCTCCACCTGCGGTACTGGCATCCCATATGCGCGCCAGTTCCAGTCCCGGCTGCTCCACTTCCGACCCAGCTCTCTGCTGTGGCCTGGGAAAGTAGTAGGAGATGACCCAAGTGCTTGGGCCCCTGCACCCATGTGGGAGACCCAGAAGAAGCTCCTGGCTCCTGGTTTCAGATCAGCGCAGCTCTGGCCATTGTGGCCACCTGGGAAGTGAACCAGGGGATGGAAGACCTTTCTCTCCGTCTCTCTTTCTCTGTCTGTAACTACCTCTCAAATAAATAAATAAAATATTAAAAAACAGAACAGAAGAGGGAGGGCCGAGTCGCAGGTGTCTGGGTGATCATTGCTGGTGGCACAGGGTGGGTCAGATCTTGCAGGAATGGATTCGTTCCTGAGAGAGCCCTTTGTTGTAAGGGGGTGAGCCTGGTAGCTTCCTTGCTCACCCTGTGGCCCCTGTCACCAGACGGCAGCCAGAGAGGGCTGCGTGATGGTGGATGTCCAGCCTCCAAAATGGGCACTCCTTGAGTCTCTTTACGAAGCTCCCAGCCCCGGGGGGCTCGGGGCTGTGTCCTGTGGATCTGCCCACTCCCACGGGGTTAAGGATGACTTCCAGATGGGTAACAGTTGGGCATTTACGCCTCAAGTTCAGAGCCCCGTGGAATGATCTTCATTTTTTGGGAGGATCAGTTAGGAGGATGCCAAGGTGATAAAAGCTGCCTGTTTTATATTAAAATCTTGGGGCTTTATGGTACGAAGGGATTGACGGGCTTTAGTTCAGCTTTCAAAGTGTTAACGTGGTCGGTAACTCTCATAGTTTACTAACTGCTAATGGACGCCTACCTAGGTCTCCGTATTTTTAAAAAATTTGAAAAGCAGAGTGACAGAGAGAGAGCGAGAGAGAGCAAGAATATCTTTCATCCGCTGGTTCACTCCCCAAATGCCCGCAACAGCCGAGATTGGACCAGACCATAGTCAGGAACCAGGAATTCCATCCGGGTCTCCCAAGCCCCTGGGCCATCACCCACCACCTCCCAGGTGCATTGGCTGGAAGCTGGATTGGAAGCAGAGGTGGGACTCCATCCCAGGCACTCTGATGTGGGATGGGGCAGGCTACAGTAAAAAGCGGCTAAACCGGCTGCCCCCTCCCCAGCCGTCAGCTGACTTTCTGTGCAGGCTCAGAAAGTTACTTTGTAAAAGTAACTCTGGTGCAAAGTTGTATCCAAGTCTGGGGAAGAAGCCGGGTGGGTGTGTCCTGGATGGGGAGGAGCTGCCTTGTGTTGGCCGTAGTACCCAAAACCTCCCCCCACAAAAGAAACCCCCACCACTGCTCAGAGGCCTTCCTGTGGCCCGGGGCTGAGCAGCGGCTGCTTTCTTGGAGAAATAAGATTGTGTCAAGCCAGGCACGTGCGTGAGCGCCAGCACGGCCTTGAACACAATGGCGAAGGTATTTTTAAAACACCGAGGCTTCTATTGACTGAGGAGCCGAGAGAGGATGAAAGCCGTGGGGACGCGTGAAGAAATCTGTAGCCCGGGGAAGGTTTTATATATCTGGAAGGTTTTTGTCCTACACAAAAGCCTGAACTTTCTGGGTGTTACAGGCTGAACTGGGTCACCCCCCCACCCCAAAATTCTTAGCTTGGAGCCTTAACCCCCAGCACCTCCCAGCGCGACCGTTGTTGGAGGTGGGGGTCTCTAAAGAGGAATTAGGTTAAAACGAAGTCATCGGCGCCACCTTTCAAGACGGGAGGCCTTAGGAGAGGGGGGCTGGGACGCAGACACACACGGGGAGGGCGGCGTCCCCACACCGGGGCAGGCAGCTGCGGAAGGAACTCACCTCCTGGCC